TCGGGGGGGGAGGGGGGTGTGCTCGTTGTGATAATCGTTGGGTCGGGGTCATAACTGGCGTTAATCGTTGGTGTCCTCGTAGGAACGTTCGTGGCCATCCAACGGTCTGGGGCATTCGATCCGGCCAACGGCTGCTGGTCGTCGCCGCCACGCACGGCACGCCACACTCGACTTGCTCTATCCAAAGCTCTTAACTAGCAAGAGAATTGATACTTTGACACATGCAAGCATCTTCACCTATACATATGCGTAGGTTACGGGAGGGCCAGACGTGCTAGAGCGGGTGTGGAGTTGGTGGTGTTGCGTGACTCACTTGCTGCGAAAATGTTGAATCGATTTGGGTGACAGCGCTCGGGCCGCGGTCGCCGCATCTTGGCCGCAGCCCGATGGCACGCGGTCCGACGGCCACCCCGCCGCTGCGGATGGTACCTGCAGCACAAATTGAGGCGCTGCAGAGAGAGCTGGCTGCGGTGCGCAAGGCGCATGCCGAGGAGCTTGCCGCCCGCGAATCCGCCGAGCTGGTCCAGACATGCGCCGAGCTACGGGCCGAGCTGCGCGAGGCCAAGGCGACTATAGCTAAGCTGCGCGCCGACAGGGAGCGGACCAAGTGCACTCAGTGCGAGGTCTTCCAGCACACCATTGCCAAGCTGCGCGGGTCGGGCCCGGACTCAGAGGAGGCACCTGAGCCGGCGACTCCGCCGCGAAAGGCTGCCCGCGCTTCGGCTCCGACTCCGACCCCGGCCACGCCCACGTCCGAGGCGCTCGCCCGCGCGCGCACGATGGTCGAGCAGCGCCGGATCGAGCTCGAGCGACTGCAGGGCGAGCGCGCTAAGCGCAAGGAGGCACTGCGGGTTCGCCGTGAGGCGCTCGAGCGCGAGCGCCGTGCACTGGAGCAGCGGCTGCAGGGCGACGCGCCCAAGCCCGACTCTGCCGAGCCGGCCTCTGATGCCGGCAAGGAGGACGTCGATCCCAACACTTCGGTCGAGTCGTACACGCCCGACTTTTCTCCCATCAAGACGTACAAGCCCACCAACCCGAGCGGAACACCGCTACGGCCGATCTTGCGTAAGCCGAGCACGTCCAAGCCCGACGCTGACGGTAGTGCCGCATCCAAGTCGGTCCAATTTGCCTCCTCACCCCCGCCGTTTGTCATTGTCCCTCGCAAGCCATCGCCCGAAGCATCCGATTCGGACTCGGATTCAGACTCGGACTCGGATTCGGACTCGGACTCGGACTCTAACGACTACACCGACGCCGATGCTGACGCCGATGCCAGCCCGCCATCCGGGGGCATCAACATTCTCTTCCCACTCATGATGTGAGGACGCGTGCCCGAGGTTACGGTAGGCTGCGCCTTGTCAAAGTGAGCCCCGACCCGCAGCGTCCTGAAGATCGCCCGCAGGACCGGAGCCAACAGCCGCGGCCGCGCAAGGTACACCGCATGCAGCGTGGCCATGACGCCGCCGAAGAGCGCAATCTCTCCACGTGGGAATGCACGCAGCCACCCGTGCCGGACAAGGATCCAGAAGGCCGACGAGACCGCCCGCGGTAGGACGTACAGCGCCAGCTCGGTCCGCCGTGACGGCGCCTCGATCAGGATCGCCGCCGAGCAGATAAGGCCTGACAAGAAGTACGTCGCACCCGAGTCAGCGAGCCCCAGCCGCCGGTGGGTGCACACCGCAGCCATAAAGAGCGAGACAAAGCCGGTGAGAAAGGCCGTCGATCGTACCACGCTCTTGACCGTCCGCCACAGCGTCGCGCCTGGGGCAGCCATCAGCTTCTTGTACCGGAAGAGGAGCGCCACAAGGTTGAGCCCGCCGTACAGCGGCAGCGCCCGTTTTGCCGCCTTGAACGCAGTGTGAGCAAACTGGACACTGCACTGTGGGCGCTCGGGATGTAGCAGCTCGCACGGAATGCCGCACGGCAGCGGGTCCGACAGAAGCTTGGACGCCCGGGCGAGGTCGTCGAGATCACCGCCCGAGTCGGCTACGTAGGCGAGAACCGCCCCGGCATCAACATCCGTGCTCCAGAGATTGGCGCGGACAGCTTCAAGAATCGGCGTCGCTATTGGTTGGGTCCGCCGGATGAAGGCGTAGTACGAGCGCGGGAGCGATGACGGGTAGACCAGCGCCGCAAACATGACCTGCGCCGAGGCAAGCGCAAACAGCAGCGAGCCGCCCATCGCCGAGCCCTCAGCCTCTGGCTGCCCGGCAGGCGGATGCGATTCCTCCTCTTCAACACACGCGAGCGCATTGTATCCGGCCTGGGCGACTCGGACGCCGAGGTAGAGCATGGCCGAGACGCGAGTCTCCTGATCAAAGGCAGTGAGCGCTGTGGCCGCGGTCACACCAGCAGTCGCGGCCTGCACAGCCAGGCTCTTGGTTGATGCCGCCGCGAGCGAAGTTGCAGCCGAGTAGCCACCCAGCGCAAGGCCAAGGCGGGCAGCCGGGGCAAGGACGCCGACCAGGCCGCGGAGCGAGGCGAGGGCACGGTTGGGGGCGGTGGCACGGGTAAGGAGCGCAGCTAGGAGGGCAAGGCCGCCACGGAGGGCAAAGGCAGCACCAGCGACGCGGCCAAACCGGAGAAGCGCTTTACGAACGAGTGCCAGAGTGAGGCTAAAGTGCGGCTTGAGGGCGCCTGACGCGGGGCGTGCACGTCTGGGGGCCATGACAGCCGGAGCCGAGTGTGCCCGCGCAGCGGTCAGCGCTGGCCGGCCGCGCTCTGCCTGGTGCCCACCAGCGTCTCGACCTTGGCGATGAGCGCTGCTCGGCGGGCAATGTTGTTGGCTCGCCGGCGACGCTCAGCCTCTTCCTCAGCGGCGGCTTGTGGCCAGAGCGGATGCGTGACCCGGACGTCAGGGCCGTAGCGCTTGCGATCGCGGACGACGAGCGGACCGGCGGCGGTAAACGGGATCGGCGGCAGGCCGGCGCGGCGGGCTTGCTCCGGGACTGGAGGCACTGAGTCTGAAGCTGGACGCACTGGGCGCGGCGGCGGCAGCGTTTGCGCCAGGATCCGCTGTGAGAGCTGCAGCTCACGCTCGAGGATGGCCTGCCTGCGCGCCGAGGCCTGGAGGGCGGCCTCGGTGTCTGCGAGCTGGAGCGTGCGGAGCGTGGCTTCGCGGAGCGCAGCGGCGGCAGCAGCCTCGGCCTTGCGGCGCCGCGCATGCTGCTCGGCAAGATACAGTAGCGAGGGCGGCCTGCGGACTGGCGGACGCTGTGGCGGCGGCGGATCGAGAGCGGCCTGGACGGCGACCTCACGCGCGGGCTGGATCCCGGCTGCAGGCTGTGGCGGGTTGGCGGATGAGAGCGGAGTCTCGTTGACCGATACCTCGGTCCATACCTCTTCGTAGTCGTAGTCGTACGACGTGAGCGGCGGCGTGGGGCTGGCATGGGCAGTGAGATCATCCAGCTCGTAGAGCTTGCCCGAGTGCTCGAGCTCGTCGATGCCGTCGTGGAGAGCGGCGACGACTGAGGGATCAAAGGCAGCGACAACAGCCATGACGACACTGACCGCGTCGCTGTTGGTGAACCGACGTGACTCAGTCCGGGTGAGGGCCACTGCCTCGCTTGGGGCGGTGCTTGTCGGGTACTTGAGAAGCACAAGCAGGTACTCGGTCTGCTCCAGCGAGAGCGAGCCTTGGGAGCGAAAGTCGAGCCGGCGGACGGCGGCGGCAGCCTGCGACTCTACTGTGTGCCACGGCTGCGCCGATGGCGTGTCATTGTCTGTTGCCAATGGCGATGCCGACGCCGATGCTGGAGAGGCCGAGGTGTGCGCGTTCGCGAGATCGAGGAGGAGCGATTGCGGCGGCTGTGCCTCGGGTTCTGGCGAAGACGATGCTGACGGCGGTTGGCGAGGGACTGGAGAGAGCGACGGCGGCGGCGATGAACTAGGCGTGCGCGGACAAGGCGTGATGGTGACGAGATCGCCAAGCGAGAGCTCGCTGCACTCTTCGTTGGAGCCAGAAACCATGTCGTCGCTCTCAACGCTCGGCTCGGCGAGTAGCTGCGCAACATCGTCGGTCGAGAAGGATATGGTGGGCTCGACATGAGGCGAGCGAGGCGGGGAATTGTGGGCGGATGGGGGCGGGGAGGGGGTGGGATCGTGGCGAGGGGTACAAGCTTGCGCGATCTTAACTATGGGCTTGGATTCGGGCTCGGGCTCGAGCTCGAGCTCGGGAGAGGACTTGGGAGTGGGCTCTAGTCTTGTTTCGGGTTCAGGCTCCTGCTCAACCGCATCGCCGTCCTCGTCGACGTACACCACCTCGTCCACGTACTCGACCTCGCCCTCGTCCATCCCTTCCGCATCCACCACATCGCCGTCCTCGTCGACGTACACCACTTCTTCAACATACTCGACCTCGCCCTCGTCCACCCCTTCCGCATCCACCACGTCGCCGTCCTCGTCGACGTACACCACCTCGTCCACGTACTCGACCTCGCCCTCGTCCATCCCTTCCGCATCCACCACATCGCCGTCCTCGTCGACGTACACCACTTCCTCAACATACTCGACCTCGCCCTCGTCTACCCCTTCCGCATCCACCACATCGCCGTCCTCGTCGACGTACACCACTTCCTCAACATACTCGACCTCACCTTCTCCCTCAAACAGCCCTTCCCCGTCCTCCACCCAGTCGCCGCTTGACTCACCAGCCCCGGCTAGCTCGCCAGACTCCTGCAAGGCAGTGTCGGTCGACGGGAACATCTCCGATAGCAGCGCATCGGCCCGGGTGTGGCACGTCGAGCACGACGAGTGCTCATCGCTCACCTCAAAGTCTGCCGAGCCCCTCGAGGCATCCGCACTGGTCAACGTCTCGGATAGTGTCGTGAGACTCGCGTCCGATGGGTCCAATTCGGCGAGGATCGCAAACGGATCGCGTTCTGGCGAAGCAATGTCGGCCGAGGCAGCCACGGTAAGAATGACCGGTGTCTCCACGTTTCCAGACTCGCCAAGCTCCTCGATCTGCGCGTCCAAAAAGGCCGCAAACGAAGCATCAGCCATCTCGTGTTCGAGCGTCTCGCCGACAACGCCGTGAAGAGCCGCGTCCGAGTCGGTCTCGAGGTCGTGATTGGCCACTCGCCCACTCTCAAATGCTCGCAATGTTTGTTCCAGCTCATCGGTTGAGTCGGTGGTCGATGATGGCGCGTCCACGGCGCCGCGCAGGCTCTCCGCCAGCAGTGCGTCGATGTCGAGCGCCACGTCGACCGATGAGCTCGAATCGAGAACGGGCGGCACCAGCGGGCCAGACTCACCGGCGCCTATCGCGTCCAGCATCGACGCCAACTCGCCATCCAGCATCAGCTCGGGAGAAGCGGCGCCGTTGTCAGTGCCTACCACATCCCCCTCCTGCTCTCCATCTGTTGATTCCGGCTCTGCCTCCGGCTCGGCGGCCACGTCGTCCAGTACGTCCAGGATGTCGTCAATGTCAACGTCGCCATCGCCGTCTGCATCCTCGATGAGGACCACTGACACTGCACTCGAGGCTGCAGCACTTGAGCTCGACGCAAGCGCGTCGTCGTCAAACATGCCGAGGATGTCGTCGACCTCCTGCTCGTCGTCGTCACCGGCCTCCTGCCCGTCGTCATCGCCAGCGCCAGCGCCAGCGCCGCCACCACCACCGCCGCCGCCACCACCGCCGGCCTCCTCTTCGTCCTCCATGTCTGACAGCATGTCTAGGATGTCGTCAATGTCCGCCTCGTCCTCATTGCTTCCCATCCCGGCGCACGTCCCCCTGTTGGCGCCAAGTGACAGCCGCCACCGCCACCATCGAACAAATGATATACCACTTACTCAGCACCCCCCCCCCCCTTTGCTTCCGGCCACCGATCAAACGCATGCAAAGGATCCATACTCTGTCATTCCGCCCAGCAGCCGACCAGGTCCCTCCTCCTCTCGTAATCGTCGTCCGTGCCTCAGGCAAGGGCTCACGCTCAATCCGTCAGGCGACTCGCCATCGAGATACAGATCCCCCCCTCCCCCCCCCCCCTCCTTGCCTCACCCCAGCTACGGCCAATCATAAGCACCGTGGGCCTAGATCACATTCACATTGCCACCCAACAATGCCACCCTGTGACATCAGTAAAACATGCCCCCACTCCCCTTCCTCCGGGGTCCGCCCGCTTGTTCCACCGACGTTTCATTCTTCACTGTTCGCCTCAGCTCACCCCACACCTCACAACATTTCTTTCACGCAACGGTACGGCTCCCAAAGTCATGGCTACAGGCTCTACACTCCATCCTCCTTCTCTTTTACCTCGCCCATGACCTTGGAGACACCGACACCATGCAGAGTGTTCCTGGTCATGGGCTGAGGAGAATCCTCTGCATGAGTGTGCGAGTATGTAGCAGGCGGAGCGAGGACAAGGGCGGAGGGAGGGGGGGGATCGACACCTTCATGAAGACTTGCACCGTTTCTGACGTCAGTGACAGGCTGGTCATAGGCTGCCTGAGCGAGCAGAAAGAGAGGGGAAGTGGGAACTCACACGCACACACACACACACACATACACACACACACACACACACACACACACACACACACACACACACACACACACACACACACACATAGATGGCCAAGCTGCGGTTTCTGAGCCTGGGATTGGCTGTGTTTGCCACGCTGGCGCTGGTGCCGCTGGTGTGCATGACGACGGTGGTGGCTGATGAGTCGGCGACGGAGCTCAACGCTCACGCCTCGGGCACTGCCATTCACACGCTGTTTTCTGAAGAGGAGCGGGCGGCGATGGAGGCCAACATGGAGTCAAAGGCGTTCCAGGCGGACGTCTCGCGGGTCATGGGCCTCATCATCAACTCGCTGTACTCGAACAAGGAGATTTTCCTTCGCGAGCTCATCTCAAACGCGTCCGACGCGCTCTCCAAGGTCCGCGTCCTCTCGCTGACCGAGCCGGAGATTCTCGGCGACACGCCGAACCTGGAGATCCGCATCAAGGCGGACCCGGAGGCGAACACGCTCACGATTTCGGACACCGGTATCGGCATGACCAAGGCTGATTTGATGGACAAGCTCGGCTCGATCGCGTCGTCGGGGACTAAGCAGTTTGCCGACGCGCTTGCACAGGACGACTCGGACCTGATTGGCCAGTTTGGCGTTGGCTTCTACGCCTCGTACCTTGTGGCCGACACCGTGACGGTGATCTCGAAGAACAACGACGACGACCAGCACGTGTGGGTGTCGGACGCGTCGTCGACGTACTCGGTGACCAAGGATGTGCGCGGCAACACGCTCGGGCGCGGAACCGAGATTGTGCTCGAGCTCAAGGAGGACGCGCTCGAGTTCCTCGACGAGGACGGGCTCCGCCGCCTGACCAAGAAGTATTCTGAGTTTATCGACTACCCGATCTACCTCTGGGCCGCCCACGAGGAGGAGTACGAGGTGACCGAGGAGGCCGACGAGCCGATCGATGACGCCGACGGCGACGTGGTCGAGGGCGAGGACGACGATGTTGCCGAGCCGGAGACCCGGACCGAGACCCGGACCGTGTACGAGTGGGAGCTGATCAACAACCAGAAGCCGATCTGGAAGCGGTCGAAGGACGAGATCACCGAGGAGGAGTACAACGACTTTTACAAGGCGCTGACTGGCGACACCGAGGACCCGCTGACGTATGTCCACTTTCGGGGCGAGGGCGAGGTCGATGTGACCGCGCTCCTGTTTGTGCCCAAGAAGGCTCCGGCCGACCTCTTCTCGCGGGTCTCGGCCTCGCGCCACAACATCAAGCTCTACGTCCGCCGGGTCTTCATCACCTCGGACTTTGACGTCCTGCCCAACTACCTCGGCTTTGTCCGTGGCGTGGTCGACTCGGACTCGCTCCCGCTCAACGTCTCGCGCGAGCAGCTGCAGCAGTCCAAGATGGTCCGCTCTATCCGCAAGAAGATGATTCGCCGCGTGCTGGACTCGATCCGCAAGCTGGCGCGTGACGAGGACAAGCCCGAGGTCTTTGAGAAGTTCTGGGAGCAGTACGGCACGGCCATGAAGCTCGGCCTCCTTGAGGACACCGCCAACCGGACCAAGCTCGCCAAGCTCCTCCGCTTCATCTCGTCGTCGTCCGAGGGCAAGCTCACCTCGCTTGAGGACTACGTCGAGCGCATGCGCGACGGCCAGGACCGCATCTACTACCTCTCCGGCGACTCGGTCGAGCAGATCGAGGAGTCGCCCTACCTGGAGCTCCTCACCCGCCGCGGCTACGAGGTTCTCTACCTGCTCGACCCGGTCGACGAGTACGCCCTCTCGTCGCTGCCCGAGTTTGACGGCAACAAGCTGACCAATGTCGCCAAGGACGACCTCGAGCTCCCTACCGACGAGGCCCGCTGGGACGAGCTCAAGGACTCGTTCAAGCCGCTCACCACCTGGCTTAAGGTCACCCTCGCCGACCGCATCGAGAAGGCCGAGCTCTCGCAGCAGCTTGTCTCGTCGCCGGTCACCCTCGCCGCCTCCTCGTGGGGCGTCTCGCCGACCATGCGCCGCATCATCAAGTCGCAGGCCACTGCCGGCGAGAACTCGCAGGAGTACCTCCTCCACGCCAAGCCCATCATGCAGATCAACCCGTTCCACCCGCTCATCAAGGAGCTCGCCGCTCGGGTCGACGCTGACGAGGAGGACCCCGAGCTCGTCGCCGCCGCCGAGGTTCTCTACGGCTCGGGCGCCATGTCGTCCGGCTTTGGCCTCGAGGAGCCGGCCTTCTTTGTCAACCACGTCCTCAACCACCTCTCGTCCAACCTTGGCGTCGACCCCGATGCCGAGATCGAGTTTGAGGACCTGACCCCGCCGCCCGAGCCCGAGGCCGACGCCGACGCCGACGCCGACGTCGAGGAGGACATTGTCGCTGACGAGGCTGCCCACGAGGATCTTTAATCCTTTACGGTACGGAATGGACAGAGATGTCCATCGCGCAAGCCGCGCTCCGCGACGCTCCACAGACGTCGCAACGTCCATTAATCGCGGTAAAAGAGTAGTACAATGTGTTATTGGCTGCTGTGGCCAGCGCCGACGCGCAAGCGGAAGCGTCCCTTTGCAGCGGCTGCTCGTCATCACCGCTTTCCCCAGCAAGCCGTCGTACGACGCGACTGCCTCGCCTGCCGGAAGCTTCATGGTAAGCGATTGCGGCCGCGGACCTTTTGCGACACGTGCGGCGTCCATCTCTGCATCGCCGACTGTTTTCTGTTGCGCCCCCCCCGGGATGCAGAATCCAGTACAAGGATGGCGTGCCACCACTTGCGCGGCCACGCCGACGGGTAAGCTCGTCCGTCGCAAAACCTCCCCCTTTCCCGTCCGGCCACTGTGTTCAACTCTGACATGCTCTCCTTCCCGGTCCTCGGGGTCGTCAACGACAAGCTCCGCACCATCCGCGCCCACCGCTCCTCCAGATCGGCGCCGTATGGCACCTCGTGCGCCTCGCCCATGCTTCCAGGCGCCCGTCACTGCGACGGCAACTCGGGCATTCTTCAGGCGGGCGTCAACGTGTCGGCTGCCATCACGTGCAGGCATGCCTCCACCGGGAAGTCAAGCATCATCGAGTTGTTCACTTTGAGACGCGCGACAACGCATCCGAACGACCGTACTGTTAAGGGTTAACATGCTCTGTCCCCTACGCGATGCGGAGCTGTGTACAGCGCGGCAGTGCGGCGGTGAGCGCGTCCGCCGCGCCCGGCTCGCTGGCAAACGGGTTGTACGCAGCAAGAAACGTGAGAAGCGTGGCAGCAACCGAGTCTGGAAGCACAGGCACTGCCGCAATGTTGTTGCACACCAGCGAGAGCGAGGTGAGGCTGCCGCATCCGCTCAGCACGGGCGTCGGCAGCTCGGTCAGCGAGCACTGGCGGAACGAGAGCGTGGCCAGCGCCGGTAGCGCCCGCAGCCGCTCTGCGGCCATCTCGGCCTCTGCCGCCAGCCACGGACCAAGACGATTGCACGAGAGATTAAGTGTCGTGAGCAGCGAGAGTCCGCTCAGCATCGGGATCTCCTCCAGCGAGTTTGCCGCTAGATCCAGCGTGGTGAGCGAGCCAAAGACAGCCAAAGCGTTGCTATCGATGGACGAGATAAAGTTTGCCGCCAGCGAGAGATGCGAGACGCCATCGAAGCGCGGATCGGGCATGGTGTAGTCTTCGTCCTCTCCGGCTGCTTTGATGGTCACCAGCTTCTGCTTTGTCACGTCCACCACATGGGTGGTGAAGCCCGCCGCCGCCGCCGCCCGCACCGCCGCCTCAAACACGGCCGGCCCTGCAGACTCGAGCTCGCCACGCGCAGTCGCCCACTCGGTCGCCCGCTCATCGACTTGCAGTGCCCACGCACTCATTGTCTTTCGTGACGGAGGTTGAGTGGGGTGGAGTGGTGGGGGTGGTGGGGCCGGGGGGGGGGGGGGGGGGGGGGAGGCAAGCCGGCGGCGGTCGGGGAGGCGGGCGGCTACTACGGCGCGGGCATTGCTGGGTTGGGTGCGATCAAGACGATAGCATCGCAGATCTATCCACTTTCTAGGCTCTGTCAAGTGTACTTGCGGATTTTCATGCGCACGGCCATCTGCATGGCTTCCAGCCCCTTCTCGCGTTCTGGATTGGCGGCGCGGCGAGAGGGAGCCAGAGCGCGGCGCAGGGCCCCGGCCAGCGGCTCGGTGGATAGGGAGTGTACGGCGGACTGGGGCAAAGCCAAGGGAGATGCGGGTACACCGGGCGGGGTGATGGCGACGGCGGAGACGGAGGCAGCGGCATCGGGTGCTCTTTGGCGGTCGCATCCGAGTCGAGGACCGAGTCGGCCTCGGAGGGACGGTCGCGAAGGAGGTCGATGAGGACATGGATGTCAGAGGCAAAGGCGGACCAGAGGGCAGTGAGGGCATCAATCCGAGTCTCAAGGTGGTCGAGCACCGGGATGAGTGACGGGCCCGACGTGGGCGGCGAGGACGGCGGCGACAATTCGTCTGCGGTGAGTGACAGATGAGACGGATGCTCAACTTGCGCACGGTGGTGGGTGTGCAGAGGACGGAGTGAGCGGAGAAGAGCTTCAATGGTTGTTGGCGGTGAGAGTGAGAGCAGCGAGAGCCGCGATGCCGAGGCCGAAGAGAGCGCTAGACGGAAGCTGACCGAGTCGGTCGAGACCAGGACCGACCAGGCGGCCGAGCCGAGGTCGGTGGAGGCCATGGAGACTTCGGGCGCGAGGTCGTCGGCAGCAATAAAGGCGGACGCGCCGCAGTGCGGGCAGAGTGCGCGCGGCATGTGGGGTGGATGGAGGGTTAGAGACGCGGTGTCGATGCGAAAGACAAGTGGTAAGTGAGTGGCGTGCTAGCCCATGGCACGGGCAACCGACAGGCCAGCAAGGACCGAGGCGAGGAGCACGGCGATGGTAGCGTTGAGGCAGGTAGCCATATTGTGCGAGGCGACGTCGGCCCAGTTGACGGCAATACACTCGGGAATGGCCGGGGACTTGGTGAAAGCAAAGCTGACGTCTGTGCCGAGGACGATTGACGGTGGGACGAGGATGAGCTCGTCGTCGTCGTCATCGGCGATCACCACAGGGCCAAGCGGATCGGTAGGATCGGTGATGAACGGCGAGAACCAGGCGCCACGCCGACTTGCGCTGATGCTAGCACGGAGCGCCCGCTGGAACTCAACCAGCTTGCTGCGGAGCCGGCCGCGGGGCCGAGGACTGCAACAAGCGAGACTACGTCATCGTCAAAGAAGCAGCTCTTGGAGAGGCCGACGACGTGCGGGACGTCAAGCATGATCCGCTGCGACTGGTTGCAGTAGACCCAGACGGGAGTGGCGGCGTTGAGCAAGGCCTCCGAGTCGAGGACCGAGATGCCGCGGATGGGCAGCGGACCGAGGGCGAGGTTGGTGACATCGAGATCCATCTTGAGCGTGAGAGAGCTTCCGTCCACGATATTGATCAGACGCTGATCGGTGCGAGAGATGACCGGCTTCCGGCCCGAGTTGACGAGCTCCTTGTAGTCGAGGCCATTGACGAGGTGATCAGGCGTGAGCGAGTTCGGATCGTAGGCCAGCTCCGCGTCGGCCATCATGCTCGCTGCAGCACGGACATCATCCATATCCCGAGCAGGAAGAGGAGCAAGATCGGACCGCTTGAAGGAGTCACGAACAATAACCAGTCTGGGCAGGCTCTCTTGGATGGACGGATGACTTGCCCAAGCCAGAGCATGGTCAGCCGAGTCAAAGGTCATGGTCTTGTTCACGGCCTCACCCACACCCTTGGCATTGCTGTATGTAGCGCATGCTGTGACAAAGGCATGCAAGCAGTAGCCAGTGGTGGCGGCTGCCACTGCTGCCATGCCCCACGTCTTGGCCAGGGGATTGAGCCTGTCCATGATGGAGAAGTGTGGCCACAGACTCGGGCGAGGGCCGATCCAGGGGGGTGTATGGGATCGGACGATTGGGATGGAGTCGGGCAGGCCATGCGTATGTATATATATATATATATGCGTATGTATGTATGTATGTATGTATGTATGTATGTAAGTGTGTGTATGTGTGTGTGTGTGTCTCAAGATCAGCCATGATGGCTTTTGTGGCTGAATCTCATGGAGGATCCGAGGGAAAGACAAGGCGTATTTGGATGGCTTAAGATGTGATAAGGATATGGTGATAGCGATGGCGATGGCGGTGGTTGGTGGCCCACATGCAGTTTCTGTGCCTTTCCCGTGAGCCATCGCCCCGTCATGCATGTCGGTCACTCCCACGTCAGCTGGGGGCGGTCACGTACGGACTACGACGACGACAGGCATTGGTGGCGCACCACCTCACGCCACGCCGCCCCCCCCCCACCCCCTTCCACCACACTCCCTTTCACACTCTCCCTGCCATGGCAGGACGTCCACCCCCACCCTTGCAGCCTCCACCTCCTCTGGCCTCGCCTGCCCAGTCGTCCCTGCCTCCCCCTCCGCCGCCGTCGTCACTCGTCAAACCGCCGCCGCCCAACCTCCCTCCGCCGCCGTCCACAAGACAGAAGCCTCCCCCGCCCAATCTCCCGCCACCGCCCGTGGCCTCTACACCTACCCCGCCGCCACCCAGAGCCTCGCCCGCATCCAAGCCGCCGCCGCCCAATCTCCCGCCGCCATCGGATGACAAGCCGAAGCCACCGCCGCCGAGAGCCTCGCCCGCATCCAAGCCGCCGCCACCCAATCTCCCGCCGCCATCGGATGACAAGCCGAAGCCACCACCGCCGAGAGCCTCGCCCGCCTCCAAGCCGCCGCCACCCAATCTCCCGCCGCCATCGGATGACAAGCCGAAGCCACCACCGCCGAGAGCCTCGCCCGCCTCCAAGCCGCCGCCACCCAATCTCCCGCCGCCATCGGATGACAAGCCGAAGCCGCCGCCACCCAATCCCCCGCCGCCATCGGGTGACAAGCCGAAGCCATCGCCGCCGAGAGCCTCGCCCGCATCCAAGCCGCCGCCTCCCAATCTTCCACCGACAGGCTCGGCGCCAACCCCACCACCGCCTAGAGCCTCGCCCGCATCCAAGCCGCCACCTCCCAATCTTCCACCGACAGACTCGGCGCCAACCCCACCACCGCCCAGAGCCTCGCCTACATTCAAGCCGCCACCATCGGTCGCTGATGATAACAGGGATCCCGAGACCAAGCGCGACGGTTACAAGCTATCTCTAACCGTCGAGACCTCACGCGAGAACGCGACTGTTCCGCTCTCCGATCTCGCGTCGGCGTCGGACTCGGACTCGAGCTCCGAGGTCATCACTGCTGTCACCAGGTCGCCCATCTCACAGGCGTCGCCACACTCTGAACAACTTTCCTTCCTTCCGACAACGAGGAGTCGTCTGGTGACGAGTCCGTCATCACCACCGTGACCCACTCGCCGCACCGCGACTCGCCGCACATGCCACGCCCACACTCGCCCCGCTCTCCATGCTCACCAGCCTCTCCTTGTTCGCCATCTACTCCTGGCTCGATGGATACCGCTGTTCTTCGTTCGCTGTCACCGCCACCGCGTGCCCCACTCCGCCACTGTCATCACCATCACCATCACCCGCATCCTCGCCCTCGCCCCCCCCTCACTCTCGTCACCGCAACTACCCGACATTCGCCTTGTCTCCGCCTCCTCCCTCGCTTCATCGGCTGTCGTGAGCGTTGAGGACGACGGTTCGTCCGAGTCGGACGCCGAGCTGCACGCCATCCTCAACGACGAGCACGACGAGAGTGACAGCACTGCGCTGGCAGCCATGGCCGACGACTCGAGCTCAGAGACTGGTACATCGCGCTCGGACGCGCTCGAGGCTCTGGCGGTGTATGCCAAGCTCGAGCAGGACCTACTCGATCGCGAGGCCCGTGCGCGCGCGTTTCTCAAGCGCAAGCTTGCCGTCGTCCGCAAGCGCGAAGCCGCCTTGGCAGACCGCGAGGCCCGGGTCGAAGCCCGCATCCGCAAGTATGCCAAGTCGCGCGCCAAGTTTAAGCGCGAGCGCGAGCTCTTCCGCATGCAGGTTGCCCAGTTTGAAGAGTACTCGGGTACGTTCTACAAGATGCTCGCGGCACAGTCGGGTGACGCGCCCGCCGCGCCGCCACAGCCACGCCCAGCACTCGCGGTATCGCTCTCGTTCTCGCAGTCCGAGTTTGACTTTGAGCTCGCCCGCTCGCAACAGCTCGAGCGAGGCGACGGCGGGGCTAGAGGAACCGGCGCTAGCCGCGGCTCGCCTGACCCGACCACCCGCCGCGCCATCGAGCGGGCTGCCCGCAAGCTGCAGATCCTCAACGCCCATATGGGCGAGCAGCGTGCGCTGCTCGCGGTCCAGATTCGCACGTTTGAGGAGAAGCGCGACGCCAAGCTGGCAGCGCTGGCGGAGCTGGAGGCGCGGGCCCACGATAAGATCCGCCGCGCCGCCGCAGCCTTCGACGCCAAGTGCCGGAAGAAGGCCCAAGCTCTGCGGCTCGCCGAGGCCCGGCTCGCAGCCCGCGCTGCGCGAATACAGCAGAGCTAACGATCGGTGCATAAAATTTACAGGTCAGGTAGCAATGCCAAACCGACACACGTCGCCCGACCACGACGAGGTGTAGATGCGTGCGTCGTACGGGTGCCATGCCACGTCGCGGACCGGGTTGCGCGGGCGATCACTCGGCAAGAGCTCCGCGCACGTTGCCCCTATGGTGTCATAGATGAAGACGGCGCCGTCGTGCGAGCCCGAGTAGAGGAAGCGCGAGCCGGTGGTGTGCGGCGAGGAGAAGCCGCAGCGAATGAGAGTCTGCAGAACCTTGTGAGAGCCAACCGAGAGAATCGACGAGTCGTCGGTGGCGCGCCCCGGTTCCGACGCCCGGGTAATCGGACGTGACGTAGTCCCACGACGGGTACGCCGATGATCGCCGCGGCAAGCGCTCATAGTCGGTGACCGGGATGGCCGACCGCCGCAAGTCCCACAACTTGAGCGCCTGGTCCTTTCCGTTGGAGGCGATGAACCGGCCGTCGCCTTTGGATGCAACGTGAGCGACGCCCTCGAGGTGGCCGATAAGGACACCGACCGGGATGTGTGGCGCGCGGAGGTCCCACACCTTGATCGAGGCGTCGTCAGAGCCCGAGACAAAGACGTTGTCGCCGTCGCCGGTGCTCCCAGCAAATGCCACCGAGTTGATGTCGTCAGTGTGGCCGTCGGTGATCGAGACTGTGAGCGTGCCCGTGGCAACGTCGGCTCCGACCACTGCCGGCGACGACGTGCCCGCTAGCAGCAGCGAGTTGTCGCCCGAGAGCGCCAAGGACCAGATGCCGCACCAGCCCGACTCGGCAAGGTACGAGAGCTCGACGTGCGGGCCATCAAGGTCGTGCGGCGAGACAAGGTACACCACAGGCGTGATGGACGAGTACGCCAGGAGCGAGTTGTCCCGCGCCAGCGCGAGGTCGGTCACCGTCCAACGGCCCATCACCGCTGCGGCGTCGCCGGCAAGTTGCGGCAGGTCCGACCCACGCGACGTGTCGTACACTCGCAGCCGCCAGTCCTGCGCAGCCGTGACAAACAGCGAGCCGTCTTTCGAGAATCGCCCGCAGTACACGCGCTCCTCGTATGAGTCTACCACTCCTTCGTAGCTTGCTGGGAGAAACGCGGGGCGCGAGAGGAGCGCCAGCTTGGCGCCGCGGCAAAAGCCGGTGCCAGGAATGCCGAGCTTGCGGCTGGTCACCATCTCCATCGGCGACGGCAGCTCGACGCCGCACCCGCGCTGCGCCAGCTGCGAGCAGACGGCGCCAAACGCGCCCGAGTGCATCAGCGAGGACGACGCCTCGGCCGCTTCGGCCGCCGCGCTCCGCTCCTTGGCGCCCTTCTCGGCCACAAGATCATCCACAACCTTGTGATACGACTTGGTCGGGTGGCTACCGCTTGAGCTTGCACTCGCACTCGTGGTTGTGGCTGCAGTCGATGTCAGCCGACCGCCTCTGGGCACCTCGCCACACTCGCGGCGAGGCGCAGAGCTGGCCGGCGGTGCCGCGGCGCTAGCGACCCCACTTGCGTCCAGCGCGGCCTCGATGTCTGCGGCGAGCCGGACAATGGCTGGCGACGACGGACTGAGGGCCTGGGCGCGGGCGATCATATCGCGGGCGTCGGCGAACGAGCCACGGGCACAGAGGATCTGGGTCTTGCGGAAGAGCAGCTTAACCAGGAGCTCTGGATGCTGCTCGACGAGCACGTTTGCCGAGGCGTCGAAAAGGGCGTCGCAGAGCTGCGACGCAGCGTCGCAATCCTCGCGACGCATATGGACCGCAATCAGGTGCAGTTGGACCTCCAGGACGGTCCGTTCGAGCTCGGCCTGAAAAGTCTCGTCGACGCCTGCGGCAGTGAGCGGCGGAGCGGTGGTGACGACGTCTAGAATGACCTTTGACCGCTCGAGAGCAGCAGAGAACAACTTGCCCGCCGAGTCAAAGTCGTTGTTGACGTAAGCCTTGCGGGCGTCATCAGCCAAGTCATGGACCAGCTGGAAGCAGCATGCTACCTTTGCCATAAAGTAGTCTGGGCACTCACTCCGCGCCGAGGAAGCCAAGCATGGACCCATACCAGACGGGTCTTTGTCGGCACATGATCCTGGCCCGCATACCGGTCCTCCGCCTCCGTAGCCGGTCGTCGTCATCGTGTTGGCTCGCGATTCGGCCACGCCGAGCTCCACCACGTCCATGGGGGAGACTTCTTCCACGCTTGTCATGGGGGAACCAACGGCTTGCAGGAGGTTGTTGTGTACGTAGCCAGGTGGAGAGGGGTTAAGGGGGGGGGGGGGGGGGGGGGGGATGCTGCGGTTGGGTCCACCTGACTTGTGCTGGGTGAAGTGCTTGCGGCTGAGAAGGGTCTCTGTCTCGCGTCAGTCAGGGTGGTGGAGCGCAGAACGTATTGGCCGCCGTCTGCTGACAACAGCCACGGAGGGGGGGGGCAATCTGACATGTGATTCGGTGTGGCGGAGTTGGGGCCAAAAAAACAGTACGCTCGTCGGGCGCGCTGGCGTTGACATTGAGGTATTACAGTGATGTGGGACAGGGTAGAGGTGGGGTATGGAGAGGGAGAGGAAAGTGCAGAGCCGATAAAAGGAACAGTAGGGCCGGAGGGGGGGGGATGGATTGATGAAGGAGGAGGGAGGGGAGGGAGGGAGGGAGGAGGGGACGAGGGGGGGGGGGGGGGGGGGGGAGTACCGGAACCCGCAAATTGTAAATTTTGTACTACAAATGACGCATTTACGCCGGGAGATGATGCGTGACGAGCGCTTGTCGGCTTGGTGACTAATGGGCTCGTCGGCAACGAGCGACGAGACAGCGGGCAAGCGGAGCGGGAGCTGGAGCTGGGGGAGAGGCACACCTGGCTTGTGCGCTGGCAGGGGTGGCGATAGATATGCATACACTTCTTCCGAGACCCACAACTCCCCCTGTACGTGGTGCGGTGGCGGCAGGAGCTGTTGTCCTTGCCCACCGCGGCCGCACCGCCAACGAGGTGGCGCTTGTCCGCGGAGCAGCGGGAGAGGAGCAGGAGCAGACGAGGAGGGAGGAGGGAGAGCGAAGGGAAGACGGCGGGGATGCGCCCTCTTCTGCCTTTCTCACCGCCTCTACTGCCTTTGCTATGCCTCCGCGAGGACCGGTGGCGGGAAGCAAGCCCGCTGTGCGGAGGAGGACCAGGCGGACGACGGCGAGGTCGACGATGCATGCCTCGCATCCCTCTCGCCACCCGCATCCACCGCATCCATCGCATCCGTCGATTGTCCCGCATCCTCGTCTTCATCCGCGTCCGCATCCGCGTCTGCGTCCGCGTCTGCCGCAGCGAAAGATCCGCCGCCAGAGCGAGGCTGCCGCTTTGCTTGCGGTGGTAGCGGATGGTCGACAGGATGATGACAGTGGTCACGACGGGAGCCGACGTGGCCAGTTGCAGCATTCGGTGGAAGTGGCGGGGATGAAGGGCGGCGCGAGAGTGACGGCGACGGACGCGCGACGACCGCCGCGAGGGCCTGCGGGATGGGCACCGCAGCCGTCACCGGCGGTGGTGGCAGCACAGCGCAAGGCGGCGCTGCTGCGGCCGCGCCGGCGGCGAGCAGATATGGTGCATGCGCTCGAGCCGCGCGGTTATGTCCCGGCGGCCAAGGCGCCTGCCCAGGTGCGGCCACGGCCTCCGCCGCCACGGTCGGCGCCGGCCGAGGACGATGGGCGCCGGGTGGTAACGCTGGCAACGCGGGTGGGCATGACCCGCTCGCCGCGGGTGGCGCGACTTCTCAAGACTCACTCGGCCAGCTTGGGCGGCGGCGACGGAGACGTGGCTGGTGTCTCGCACTTGCCTGACGACTACCGCAACTACAAGTACGGGCCGGGCGTGCCGGCGCCGCCGACTCCGGCTGAGGTTATGGCGCAGCGGAAGCGCGACCGATCGCGGCTGGCATCGATCAACGTGCTCGCGCGGCAGGCGGCGGCGGCACGACGCGAGCAGCAGGCGTTGGCAGTGCGGGCGGCCGAGCTGACCGCCGGCGTCGACGCCGCACATCCGGAGCAAGCGCTTGTGCCATTCAGGGTGGTCAATGCGGTGACGGGCGCCGGCGTCGGCTCGAGCATCTCGGCCTCGTACCTGCCCGCGATTGCCGAGCCATCACGCGAGGCGCGGCAAGTACCGATGCCGCGCGAGCGTGAGATGGATGCTCCGCTGGCAGAGCTGGCCGCGCAGGGTGTGGCGATTGCCGACGCGCTCGGGCCGGAGGCCGCGGCTGCCATGAAGGCCGCGGCCAACGCCGACGCCGCCAAGCTGACGGCCGGCCTGAGCCACGAGCAAGCTGCTCCGGTTGTTGATGCTGCCCGCTTTGCGCGCGAGGCCGACGATGTGGCTGACTATGGCAACGAGGTATTTGTCTACGACCTGCAGCTGGTGCAGTCGGCGGCGCTATCGGATCACGCGTGGCACGCGCACGCAGTCCTCCCGTCGGCGGTTCTGGTCTTCAACAGGCTCACCTCGGTCGAGTCGGAAGTCGGAACGGCAAACATCGGACCGGCCGAGCGTGGTGTGCCGCCGGTAGAGGGCGTGCTGTACTCTCTCGACCGCAACGCGCTCGCCCTCCTTGACGTCGTCTTAGGACTTGGCAGCGATGTGGTGCGCTCGCGCGAGACGGTGATCCTTGACGACGGCACCGAGCTCGAAGCTTTTGTTTACCGTGCAGCACCGCCGTGCATCGACAATTCGCTGCAATGGCCGTCGACCTCTGATGAGCTGATGCCGTTCCTCGGGGCGCGCGCGGTGCTGTCGGACAAGTATGTGGCGTGGCTCTCGGGTTTGGTGACAAGCAGTCGGCGCATTGCCGTCGAGGCCGAGGCTGATGCCGAGGCTGAGAGTGAGGTCGAAGCTGAGGCTGAGGCCGAGGCCGAGACCGAGGTCGAGGTCGAGGCTGAGGCTCAGGTCGAGGCTGAGGCTCAGGTCGAGGCTCAGGCCCAGGCTCAGGCTCTGGTGGGGCTTCGGATTGTGGCGCATGTGCCCGAGGCTGTGCGGCTGGCCAATGTGTTGGGCATTGCGCCACCGCCGGTGGCGTCGGAGGTGTATCCATTTTCGTCCGACGACGATGCTGACGACGATGAGGCCCGACTCGGTGCGGCTGACGAGGCCGAGAGCAATGCGCCCATCGAAGTGTTTGACACCGAGAACGCAGGCTTGTAGCCGCCATTGTGGGCGCAGGGTGGGACGTGCCATTCATTTGACAAGAGTAAACACGGCTCGCAATCAGTTCGAGTCGTGGTGTGCGTGGAGCGGGTAGCGGGTGTACTTCGCTCACCACGCGGCGCTGGGGTCGTTCTGGTCGAGGAAGCGGTCCTTGGGGAGCTTTGCGACCACATCCGGATGCCAGGCAAAGTTGTCGATGTTGACGGGCGGGACTGGGTTCGCGGCGCGGTCGAGGATGCGCATGATGGAAATAGCGCCAGCAGAGATGGCGTGGTCCATAATGGTCACGCCGTCCTTGTTCTTGGCGAGCGGGTTGGCGGGCGTGTTGGCGAGGAGCCACTTGACCTGAGGTGCGTCGCCGGCAATGACAGCATCGTACAGGGCGCGGTTGCACGACTTTTGGTGCTTGGCGGTGGCGAGCTTGGAGCGCGGCGAGTCTGTCTCGCGGACCGAGTTTGTGTCGGGCGCGGCAAGGCCGGCGCGGACGTCGGACGGGAAGATGGACGACGGCGACTGATCCTTCTCAAAGGTGAGGCCGTTGAGGAGGCCCATGTGGCCCATGAGCAGCATTTCATCATACGGCCGACGGCCAAGATTGTTGACGACTTCGACGGCATCGGGTGCCTGGGCCAGCGCCCACGGAATGAGGTGGCCGTGCCCGTAGCGGCACATCAGGTGCAGCGGCACGTTGCCGTCATTGTCCTGCACCGAGAGTTGCTGCATCCAGTCCGGGTTGCGGCCAAACCGGCGGAGCATGCCCTTGGCCGCTGTCCCGCCGCCATGCATAGCGAGGTAGTGCAGCGGCGTCCGTCCGGACGCGTCCATGACAAACACCTCCACCCGCCGCTTCATGAGATAGTTGAACAGCTGGAGGTTGCCGTCGCGAAGCGCAATGTGAACCGGCTGCAGGTTGCCTGAAGTGAGGCCGGTCATCGCGTCGAGGTTCTCCAGGCCGGCCTTGCCGCGCTGGTGCTGTGTAATCTGGCCACGGTCGTCCTTCTCGTTGGCCCAGGTCATGACAAACTCGCCACGCGCACCGGTCTGCGCGGCAACGCCGCCGGCGCCCGAGCGCCCCGCTGCACTCTTACCACCAGCAGGCTCACCTCGAGCCTCGCCACGCCCGCTCCCGGCACGCCGGCGGGACGAGCGCTTGGTCCGTCGCGAACCGCTCGGCTCGCCACGTCCGCTTGCCTCGGCGTTGTCGTCGTAGTCCTCGGCGCCAGGAGCGCCGAGCTCCGGATTCGAATCGCCGGCGTCGGCACGCCACTTGCTCAGCAAGTCGGTGACCGAGATCTTGGGCGGGCGGCCGCCCTTGCCCGGCTGGGTGGCGAGCACCTCCTTCCGGCCGTTCATCGAGAGAACCGAGCCGTCTGGCGCGACAATGACCAGAGTAGGAAGCTCGGCCACGCCAAACTCGTCAAGCACTCGCTGGCGGTACTTGCCGCGGAACGGAAGACGAATCCACGGCATGGGATGCTGGTCGAGGAAGTCGTACATCTCGGCCTCGGAGACGTCGGTCGAGACAAAGACGACCTCAAACTCGGATGTGGCCGCGCACGCCTCGGCGTAAAACTGCGTCAGCACAGGAGTAAACTTGTCGCATGGCTTACACTTGGCCCTGCACACCCACTACCCATGAGTCCTCATCTCCTTTATGCCCCTACCTCATCCGCCCACCACTGTCCACGCCACAACGCCTGGCCGTTGTGCCAAAAAAGCCGTCAAGATCAAGATCACCCGCTCCAGGCCAGGCCCCCCCAACCGCCCCTCCCGCCCACTAAAACGTACCCAAAGTAAAAGGCCAGGTACTTGCCCCTCAGCTTGCGCGAGTGGATCTGTGTCCGCTTCGCGTTGAGGAACTTGAGCTCGTCCAGCAGCATGGTCACTAGACTGTGAGTCAAGTAGCGGGCTGGGCAGCCGGTCGTCTGTCACCTTGATCGATCGGTGCTGGGTTGATCGCGGCGGTGATCGATCAGGCGAGACGCCACAGCTTGGACTGAGAGGGCAGGGCAGGGGTAGGCAAGTTGGTGGTCGATGATAGCCACACACGGCACCACTTCACACAGGCGTATTGGTGGCTCGAGAGCAAAGGGCGTCAGAGGTGGTGCAGCATGTCGTTGTTCGCTTTGCAGACGGGCGACTTGAGGCTGTCGACAAGAATGGCGCCAAGCCACACGGCCACGTCGGGCGGTCCGGGCAACACGGCCACGTCGGGCGGTCCGGGCAACACGGCCACGTCGGGCGCTTCGGGCACGTTGGGCTCCTCGGGACGGGAGCTGAGCGCGCGACAGCTACGGGGACCTCTAAATCCATCAGACTCGCTGCTTTTGCAGTCGGTTATGGCCTCGCTGCCTGCAGGAGGACGGCCGCGGCCGCGGACGTTGGCAGCGGCAGCGACGGCGGCAGCGGCGGCCGACACGTTGCTGCGGCCTTCGCCACCGCGACAAGCCCCGGGCAGTGGCAACACAAGTCGGCGTGTGGACGGATGGCGGAGCAGTGATCGGAGGGAGGAGGCGTATCTGGCGTCGTTTGCTGCTCTGGAGCACGAGCTGGACGCGGCCGGGCGGGCGGCGGTGTCGGCGGCGGCGGCCCGCGACGAGATCGCTGCAGCGGCGTTGGACGCTGCTGACGCGGCTGCAGAGCTCCCGTCGGCACTAGCAGCACGCGCGGCAGCGGAGGAGCAGGTTGTCGGCCTAGTGACCCAGGTGACACAGCTCAAGATGCAGCTGGCCAAGGTCGAGGGCGCGGGCCGGGCCGAGGCGTCCGACCTGCGGGCGAGGCTGCAGGCCGCCGATGTACAGCTCCAGGTCGAGCGTGAGAGACAGGCTGAGCTCGAGCATGCTGCACGACAAGCACAGATGGCGCAGGTGGCGGCGGAGCGCGAGCGCGACGAGCTGGCGACGGAACTGGCAACGATGAAGGGCGCTGAACAGAAAGACACCGAGGCGGTGACCGCCGAGGCGTCGGCCCGTGAAGCCGAGCTAGCGGCCGAGCTCGCGGCTGTTCGCAACCAGCTAACGGTGGCGCAGCGCGAACGGTGGATTCTGGAGGAGGACTTGTCGGCGGAGCGGCTGCGGGTGCAGCGGCTGCAGGCGCGCGGCATGGGTCCGCTAGCAGGCGAAGGCCAGAGAGACGAGCCTGTGCAGGCGGCGGCGGCGCAGGCACCGGCACCAAGCGATGCGCTGGCGGCAATGATGTCGACAGCGGCGCAAGAGCTCATTGCAGACCTGTCGCGGCAGCTGAGCGCAGCGAACGAGGCCAATGCTGCGCTACGCCGCGAGGTCGAGGCCGTGCGGAGCCAGGGCGCGTCGTCGAGCGCACTGGCAGCCAAGGTTGCATCGCTCAAGGAGCACGCAGGAGCTATGGAGGCCCATGCAGCAGCAGCGCAGCGCGAACTCTCCAACGTACGGGCGGATGTGGCCGAAGCGCGATCGGCAGCAAGTGCGGCTGAGGCTCGCGAGGCCGAGCTGGCGGCGGACGCTGAGGCGCTGCGAGCCGAGCTGGCGGTGGCCCGGTCAGAGCTGAGTGCGGTCAACGCGGAGCGGGTGGCGCACCAAGAGGCTGAGCTGGCGGCGGCTGGTAGCAAGGCGGGCCTCCTCTCGCGCCTCCAAGCGTTTACCGACCTTACTGCCGACTGGCTCCGGGCCGACCGAAGCGAGGGCACGCCGCCACTGGTCCGGACGCTGGACACGGTGGCGGCCGCGCACGAGAGCCTTGAGCTCGCGGTCGAGCGTGCTGCCAACTGCGCGGCGAGTGGCGTCGAGCCCGATGCCGAGGCTGAGCTTGGAGCGCTGGGGGTAGGCGCGCTACACCTTGCGCAGCTGTACCTTGGCCACATGCGGCAGAGCTGGCGTGACGCGCAGACGGCAGCAGCTGCGGCCGAGGCGCGGATGGAGGGCGCGTCTGCGGCGGCTGCCGCCACAGCCAATGCCAACGCAAAGCTGGAGCGACAGGCCGCCGAGGCTGCGACAGCGGGCACGCGAGCAGACCAGGAGCGAGCTGACGCGCTCGAGCGCGTCGCCCAGCTCCACGCCCAGCTAGAGGCCGAGCGCGAGCGCGGCGCAAGTGCCGCCAGCAAGGCCGCCGAAGCCGAGCGGCGACTGGCAGATGAGACGGTCCGGCGGGCGGCAGCCGAGTCGCGGGCCGAGGCCGCGACGGTGACTGCTCAGGTCGCGCACCTCGACCTGCAGTCGCGGATCAAGACGCTGGAGACGCTGCTGGATGCAGCAAAGGCGGAGAGCGCGAGCAACGGGAGTGCGAGTGCGAGTGGCAACGCGTCAGCGTACGTCGACGCGCTGCAAGCATCGAATGCCAAGCTCCGTGCCGCCAACGACCGCGCAACTGACCAAGTGGCGGCGGTGAGCGCGCAACTCGAGGCTGCGGAGCGGGCGGTGGCGGCGGCCGAGGCACGGGCGGCGGCAGCCGAGGCGGCGGCGGCGACGGCGGCAGCCGACGTGGCACGGGTCGAGGAGCGGGCGGCAGCTGCCGAGGCTGAGGCTGCAACCGGACGGGCGACCGAGGCCGAGGTGGTGCGGCTTGTCCGGGTCGCCGCCGATGCCGAGGCCAAGCTCAAGGCGCAGGCCGAGCGAGTGGTTGAGCTCGAAGCCCAGCTCAGTGCCGCTTCAGCGCGGCAGCGGCAGCTGGAGGGATCCAAGCACCGGTTGGTGACGGACATGGAGGAGCTGACATCATCGCTGGCGGCCCAGGAGGCGTTTGTCAAGGACGCACAGAGCCAGATGGAGATCGAGCGGCAGCGTGCAGCCAAGCTCGCCGAGGCGCGGCGGCAGCTCGCGCAATCGAACGCATACTACGGGCGTGAAGCTGCTGGACTTCGGGCCTCGCTCTCGCGGGGCTCGTAGCTTCGAGGAGTAAAGCTTAAAGGCTAGGCTGCACCCTGCTCGTCGCGGGCCGGCTTGCTCGGCGATGCGGCTGGCGACGCCGACGCCGACGCTTTGTCGGACGCTGTAGCGTTGTCCTTGTCTTTCGGCTTCGACTTGCGTGTGCGAATGCGGATTCGCGACCTGGAGCGCTTCTTGGTCTTGACATCCGGCTCGGCCGAGGCCGGCTCATCACTCGGAGCCGGAGCCGTAGCAGCGGCGCTTGCCTCATCGCCGTCCATTCCGGCCTTCTTGAGGTGATACTGCAGCACTTCCATAAGTCTCTCGTTGTTGGCCTGCATCAGCGCCACATCCCGGGTCAGCTTGTCGTTGACAGCTCGAGCCTCGGCCAGCTCCTCCTCCACCGCCGTCGCCGACGCCCTGACCAGAGCCAGCTCTTCCTCCAGCTCGCGAATGGTGTTGTCCCTCTCGACCAATTGCGTCTACATCCCCCATCCATCGGCGATCATGAGTGAGTGCGCAAGGGGAGGGGAGGGGGGAGGGGGGGGATGATGAGATGATGGCTACATGCCTCACACCGCACCGCGTACATTGTACGTCTCCTCCAGCTGGTAGTACCGCTCCTGGAGGAAGAGGATCTGCTCGGACGGACCGCTCTTGCTCGCATCTGTCAACCCGAGCAAGGCTGCGTCCCAGTCCATGATGAGGTTGGTGGAGGGAGTGAAGTAGAAGTGGGGGAGGTAGGGGGGGAGGGGGGGAGAGGGAGAAGAGGAGAGAGAGAAGGAGAGCGAGTGGAAGGGGGACGGGGAGGGGGAGTGGTCGACCAGCCACCAACCACAGTCACCGGATACCATCCGGCCGCCACCAGCCAGCCACCAGCCAGCCGCCAGCCACCACCAGCCGCCACCAGCCAGCCACCAGCCAGCCGCCAGCCGCCACCTCCCTTCCCTGCCACCGCACACACACGCACCCGTACACACACACACTTTACTGGTCCCACCACCACACACACCACCGCCACCTCCGACCCCGTACCTCCTCTCCACCTCTCTTCCTCATGTCATCTTCCGCCTCGTCGGCCTCGTCGGCCTCGTCGGCCTCGTCGGCCTCGTCGGCCTCGTTGGCCTCGTCCGAGTCGTCGTCAGCATCGTACTCGGTCTCTGACTCGGGCATCCGTGGTCGTGGCAAGGGCGAGACCTTCACTCAGCTGCATGTCAAGAAGCGTATTGTCTTCCAGCCGGGCTCGGCCCTTCTCACTGCAAAGTCGGAGGCAGATGTGGAGCAGATCGCCGAGCTACTGGCCAAGCGGCCCAAGACCAAGCTGACCATCATGGGTCACACCTTTGCTCCCGAGCTCCACGAAGGTGCATCGGGTCAGCAGCTCGCTCCGGGCTCATCGGCCTTCAAGTCGCTGCTGGAAAAGATGGAGCAGCTCTCGTTGCAGCGCGCCAAGACCGTCCGCGACGTCATCCTCCGCCAGGATCGCATCTCCAAAAAGTACATCCAGTGCCTCGGCGCCGGCGACTCGCTCCCGCTCTTTAACGCCTCGGGCGACTACCTTGAGCGCGCCTCGAAGCGGGTGGAGATCCTCACCCCGGGCCAGGCCCGCCAGCTCGCGCCCACCATCCGCAAGCTGGCCAAGCTCGTCGCCAAGCGCCGCGTTCGCGCCCAGCGCAAAGCCACCAAGAAGAGCGATGCCTCGGACTCGGACTCCGACTCGGACTCGAGCCCGAGCTCCGGCTCGGACTCCGGCTCCGACTCCGGCTCCGACTCAAGCTCCAGCTCCAGCTCGGCGGCGGCGGCAGCAGCCTCGGACTCGTCGTAGCTCTCCTTTGCGTCGTGATCCACGTGTCCGAGATGATTAAATGCCAGTCCGCCCCCCCCCCCCCCCCTGCCAGCCATGGCTTGTCAACCAACGGCAGGTAGTTTGTGGCCTCAAGTGCGCTGTATGTCACCCCTTGGGTCTCTCAGAACGACCAGATCTCGGTCATTGCGTGCGTCGGTCACTCGCGCGGCCTACGCTCCACTGTACCCCCCTTTTTTGCCTTCCGGTCATCATGGTCATGGTCATGGTCATCATCACCATCATCATCAACATCATCATCATCATCATCATGGTCATCATCATTGCCATCACGTCATGGAATCTGATTCCCCCCAAGCAGGCAAGAGAGACAGAGAGAGCCTCTTGATCTCACTCGCCCTGCCCTGCCACGGCACGATGATGTGCCACGACAGGATTCGCATTGCCGAAAGCAAGCCAAGCGACAGGAGGAACACAGCGGCTCACCGCACTCACGCAGACGAGAGCAAGCACAGGCAGCAAGCGAGGTGAAGAGGCAAGGGGGAGAACAATACAGAGACAGAGAGACAGAGAAGGCGTGGGTGGGTGTGAAAGAGGGTGAGTATGGACAAGCGGAGCAAGAAGCGCAAGTCGCTCGCCTTGGGCTTCTCCCGTGGCCGTGGCACCGTCTCGTCTTCTTCGGCAGCCGCCGCTGCTGCGCCTGTGACGCAGAACTATCCATACTCTCCATTTTCATCATCGCTGCGGACGCAGGGCTTGTTTGTGGAAGCCAAGCAGAGCAACTCGTGGGCTCAAGTCATGGTCGTCGGATCGCATATGCCATCGGGAAGATATGGTCACTCATCGGCGCTCTACGCCGGACACATGTTTGTCTTTGGTGGCTTCAACTCGGAAGTCGGGACGCTCAATGACATGCATGCCTACTCGCTTGAGGCCTGCAAGTGGACGCCCATAACCTACGCCTCGCGATCGGTGCCCTCGCCGCGGTTCTACCACGCGTCGCTGGTCGATGGCGAGTCCATGTACATCTTTGGCGGCTTGCATGTGGCCGACTCGTCGGCATCGGCGCCCGAGTTCTGTGACGATCTCTGGCGGTTCTCCTTCCGCACCCTCAAGTGGAAGCGGATCAAGGCGACGGGCCACCTCCCGCACGGCCGGCACAACGCAACGCTGGTGGCGTACGAGTGGCCGCGCGGCTCGATGGAGCTGCTCGCGCCACTCGACCTGGAGACACCCGATGTGGCGCTGGCGACGGCCGTCGCTGCTGCTGCCGCCTCCAAGTCGGCCATGCGGAGCGTGTCTTCAGCAGTGGACATTCCCGGGATGGCGGCAAGGGTGGCGCGCGAGGTGCCCGAGCCCGGGCCAGGTGCTGCCTCGTTCGACCGCGCCACCCCGCCGTCGCCTGTGGTGAGCGGCGCGGCGCTCGGCGAGTCGGACTCGCCGGCATCGCCGCGAACAGGCTCGCCGGCGTCGGCGGCCGACGAGCCGGTTAGCCGGACTCGGTCGCGAGCAGCGTCTGGATCATCGGTCTCGTCGGCACAGGGCGCGTCGGTGAGCGGCGCCGGAGTCTCCTCCAAGTTTCTCTACCTGTTTGGCGGCTACGGCCAGCGGTCGGCGCTGATGTACCGGTTCGAGGTGGCGAGTTGCGAGTGGCGGATTGTGCTGACAAAAGGCCCTGTCCGCGACTTTCGGCGCACACCATGGTAGTGGCGGCGGACAAGTTCTGGCTGTTTGGTGGACGTGACGGCAAGATGATTGTCAACGACGTGTACTGCTTTGACCTCGCGACGTCGACCTGGTCCAAGCGCGACGTGGTCGGCGACGTGCCGACGCGGCGGTTCGGTCACTCGACGCTTGTCCAGGGCGGGTACATGTATGTGTTTGGCGGCGTCGACAAGGACGGGACGTGCTCGGATCTGTTCCGGTTCTCATTTGACGTGACCAAGACGGGCCAGCACGAGTGGGCACGGCTCATCTGCCGCGGGCACACTCCGTCGGGCCGTTACTACCACACAGCGGTCATGACGTCGTCGCAGTCGATGCTGGTGTTTGGCGGGTACTCGGACCATGCCGTCGACAAAAAGCTCGCCTTTCTCAACGACGCTTACGCCATCTGGATCGACCCGATTGTGGTCCCGCCATCGTCGCTCGCCTTTGACCTGACCGCCATGCTGCTCTCCGGCGCATGGGCCGACGTCATCCTCCGCGCTGGTGGGCGGTCGTTTCCGGCCCACCGTGTGGTGCTCGGCGCGCGGTCACCAGTCTTCTCGTACCTGTTTGAGCTGGCCGAAGCTTCGTCGACAGCGGCGGTGGCCAAGCTGCAGGCCAAGCTGCGGGCAGTGGTCCACCAACTCGCGCGCGGGGTGGCCGAGGCCTCGGTCGACGATCCGATGGCGGCGTATCGTGACGCGTGGGCGCCGCCATCGGCGCGCTCGCTGCTCTCAGCGACCTCGATTTCGTCGTCGTCGGACGCGCTCGACGATGCCATGTGGGAGCCGCGCCCGCCTGGACTCACCAAGGCCAAGTCTTCCAAGGCTGGCGCAAAGTCCAAGGCCAAGGCCAAGGCCAAGGCGAAAAGGCGAAGAAGGGCAAAGCTAAGAAGGCCAAGACCAAGAAGGCCAAGAAGGCCAAAGGGAAGGGGAAGAAGGTCAAGGGAAGGGGAAGGCCAAGAAGGCCAAGGCCAAGGCGAGTGCGGCAGAGGTCACGCTCGACGACGATGGCGGGCGTGGCGAGTGGGTGTCGGCCGAGTCGTCGGCCGAGCTTGGAGCGTCTGCGATCGGCTTTGGCGCCTCGTCGGGCTCATCGGTCGAGTTTGTGTCTGGCACAGGGACAACCGGAACCGACGGTGGTGGCGGCGGAGGTGGGTGGCGGCGGCCGCTATTTGACGGCGAGCGAGCCGGGCTTGGCAGCCTCGGCACCGTGCCAGAGCACGCGTCGCTGTTTGACCCAGTCTTTGCAGCGCACGTCCACACGCCTGCGCCGCTGCTCTCGTCGTCTGTTGGCGCTGATGCTGCAGACGAAGAGGAAGAGGCGCTCGAGGCGCCGATCATGGAGTTTCTCGAGTCGGTGGAGACCGCGAGCGCGGCCGAGACCGAGTCGGGCAAGACCGAGGTGCTGTTTACGACGATGGCGCCGAATGCGTTTGCAGTCATGCTACAGTTCATGTACCTTGACACGCTGCAGCACGGGCTCGGGCTCGACGTCATGGTCTCGCTGCTCGAGTTTGCCGACCTGTGCCTCCTCCCGCGGCTCAAGTTCATGTGCATGGCCGAGCTGCGGCAGCGGATCGAGCTCGCCAACGTGACACGGATCCTGCTAGCGGCCGACGCGCGATCGGCGCACGCGCTCAAGGCAGCATGCCTCGCCTTCATCGCCGGGCACCTCGACCAGGTTCGTTCGCACGCCTCGTTTGCCGAGCTCATTCAGAACCCAGACCTGCTGTTCGAGGTCACCCACATGGTGGCCGACCGCGTCACTTGCTCGCCGACCCGGCAGCGGTTCGGCTCGGCGTCGATGGCCGGGCCGAGCGAGTAAATCGAGCCGTCTCTCACTCTGTGCCGTCGCCGGTGCCGGCGCCCGACGCCCGGAGCTCGTCTGCGGCTGCCTGGACCACAGCCGCTATCCGCTGCGCCTCGGCCATGTCGTGCCGGATCGAGGCGACCAGGCCGTCGAGGTTGCGGCGAAAGTCCGAGTTGGCGCCGGGAGCCCGCGCCGCTCGCCGCGCTGCTCGCCGTACAGCACGCTCCTCCGGTGAGAGCTTGGACCGCGGCGGCGGCGCTGGTGGGGGCGCAGGCTCGCCAGTGAGGGCCCAGCGGAGCTGATCGCGAATAGCCGCTGCCGGGCCATGGCTCTTGTCGAGAGCAAGAGCCTCGTCCATGCGAACAAGGGCCTCGTCAAGCGCGCCACGCTTAGCCAGGACGATACCGACTAGAAATACAATGTCGGCCTGCGGAATGCCCGAATCAGGCGTCCAGACTGCGCCAGTAGCCTCCAACACCTGCTGGGCCTCGTCCAGCTCGGCATCGCCGACATCGCCGCCCTCGCCGTCGGCGCCCTCGACAAGCAGCGCGGCGAGGGTGACACCCGCGCCGACCCGCCAGCTCGGACCCGGCGGCTCGGATGGCCCATCAGCGAGCACGCTCCGCAGCGTCGATACCGCCTGCAATCGATCGCCCAGCACGCGGGCCAGCAGAGCGAGCTGAGTCGCCTTTTCCGCGTAGAGCGCGTCCATGGCGACGAGCCCGGCGTCGATGCTCGCTTCCAGCTCGGCCACCAGGCGCTCTGCAAAGGCCGCCAGAGGCGACGGATCGTCCAGGTCGAATGGAGGTCCCGGGACGAGGCGGAAGGCGCGGACGAGGTCCAGAATGGACAGCGTTGCAGTCATGAGCGCGGCGAGGTTGAGTCGTGTGTGTGGCCGTGAGTGGGCAGGTGCGTGTGCGACTCGCCGTCGCCGTGGAAGCCGAGGTCGAGCGACGGACGACTGGCAGCGATGAAGCGAACCGGGTGGGGTGGGTAAAGATCGTATACGCGGCGGCGGCTGCTCTTCTACTGCAGTGTGCTCCATCAGGGGTGCGAAGATGAAGATGACGACGATGACGATGAGGTGGCAGGAATCAGCAGCACGTGCGGGAAAGTGCGCACGAGAGGCGAGTGGACCGGGGGGCAAGCAAGGGGGGCGGGTCTTGAGGCCAAAGCAATGGGTCTGTCCCATAGCTGCATGCTGATGGTGTCGGACTTGGGGGGTAGGATTCGAGGTGGAGGGTGGAAAAGATCGGGATGTGGCGAGAACAACATAGCAACGGGATCGGAGGAGCCCGTAGATCAGAAGGCAGCAAAGGATGCTTATACTCCCGGCACTGCCGCCCATTGTGACTCGAGATTCGAGACTTGCTGTTGTTGCCAGTCAGAGCCCGAGGCCATCGAAACCTAGGCCGACATTGAGGGAGACTAGACCTTTGGCGTAGGATACGCGCGCGACGATAGCTGTCTGATGCAAAGCCATCGAGCAGGAACACATCAACCAAGGTATTGTCCTCCCAATACTGTGGCCAATACATGTATCCCACAAGTACAGCAAGCATTGTTGGCTCAGTAGTAGACATGCATTTCCTGCAATTCAATGATTGCCCATGCTTGGCTCCTCTCATCCGAGTGGCCGTGTCCGCGACTGCCAGCGTGTGGCCAACAGGCACACTTGGCTTCGCATCTGCGTCGTCGTTCAATCCATTTCATTGCATGTCATTCGACGACTTGGAGAGGGGCACGGGCCGGGTGGTGCTTGGTGGCGGCGGCGGGTCAGGCCAGCAAGGGGGCTATGGCTACCAATCGGGCATGGCGGCGTCAGGTTCCATGAGCAACACATCGTCGCTGCAGGTATGTTTGGCGAGCAAATCCTCCCCCCTTTGCGTGTCTCCCTCCCATGCCCGTTCCCTCCGTCACGTGCGAGTCGATCAGCGGCTGACGGCGCTGGGTGGCGGCCGCCCGGTTCCGCGTAACCAAGGGGGGGGGGGGGGGGGGAAGGCCGCCTGTGCGCCATGGGCATGCGGTATAGACTCACGAGGTGAATGTGTATGTGTGTGCGTGTGCGTGGCTTGTTGGGGCGGGTGGACGGGGCGCTCGGACGGGGCGGGGCGTTTGGACGCGGCGGGTGGCGGTGGCGGCTTTGGTCTGTAATGGCGACGTGGCGGAGGGGCAGTATGATCAGCTGCACAACCAGGCGGTGGCATCGATCACCAAGATCTCAAACAATGTGGCGGCGCTGCAGAAGATGGTGAACCAGCTGGGGACGAAGCGGGAGACGCCGGACATGCATGCGCGGATGACGACGCTGACGGAGCGGACGCGTGACCTGGCGCGCGAGGCCGGGCGGCTGCTGAAGCAGATCACGCTGGTACCGACGTCGTCGCCAGCAGAGACCCAGCAGCGGTCGGTGACGCAGCGGAAGCTCGGCTCTGACCTCAAGAAGCAGCTGACGGCATTTACGGCGGTGCAGACGCGGATCAAGGACGCGGACCGGCGAAGCATCGACACGGCCAAGCAGAGCATGGCGTTTGGTGACGCGGCGGGTACGTCAACCGCCGACGATCAGACGCAACCGCTGCTTGCGCAGCAACAGACCATCACCCTCGACTCGACCATCGAGTTTAACGAGGTCCTCATCGCCGAGCGCGAGCACGACATTGCCGAGATCGAGGCCACCATCTCGGACGTCAACGAGATCTTCCGCGACCTCTCGACCCTCGTCAACGAGCAGGGCGAGCAACTACACGACATCGAGCACCACATCGAGAACACCGTCGCCCACACCGATGGCGCCGTCAAGGAGCTGACCAAGGCCGACAATTACCAGCGCAAGGCCCGTCGCAAGGCCATGTGTCTCGCCCTCATCTTTGCCCTCATCGCCGGTGGCGTCGTCCTCTACCTCACCCAGAAGAAGTAGAGTAAGTAGGCACGCGCACGCCCAGGTGTGCACCTTAAACCCATCCCCTTGATCTCGCACCGCCCCTCCCACTCCCCCTCCCCCCCCCCCCCTCCCCCGCCGCGGCCTTGTCGGCCCGTTCGCCCATTCGCCCAATGGTCGGCGCCCCCCCATCACGCCATCCACCAATCGCGAGGGGACGCACCACACCTCACCGCGGCAATCATCCCCCACCGCCACCGCGCCACGACCCACCACAGCAAGCAAGGAGTCACGCGACATGTCTCAGGCCGTGGACGAGAGACTCTCAACAGGAGTGGGAAAGGCGGCACGGAACAGGATTCAGTTCACCCAGGCGGCTAAGAGCAATGCGCTGTTCGACCCGAGGAGCGCTGGCTACACGGTAGTCAATGGCAAGCCATCGTCATCATCAGCATCGTCATCAGCATCAAGCAAGAAGAGCAAGTCCAAGAAGAACAAGGACAAGTCTAGGAAGGACAAGAACAAGTCAAAGACGAACAAGAACAAAGAACTGTCAGTCGCGGACAACTTGCTGTTGGAGCAGAGTCAGGCTGGAAGTGACAGTCGCTGGTCGGGCCACGCCTCAAGGGCTGGCGAGAGCGGGGGAAGCGGAAGCGGAAGCGGAAGCGGAAGCACAAGTCGAAGGATCGGAGTGGCATCGATGCAGGATTCGATCCGTCTCAGTTCTCCTTCAACATGCTGTCCGGCCGGCGGCAGCTGGTCATCGAAGAGTCGTCGGGCGAGGAGAGTGGGGAAGAGATGACGAGCTCGGCTGTGGCTATGGTGATGAGCGGCGAGTCAGGTGCGTCGTCGTCATCGTCAGAGCCGCTCTTTGCCGAGGGCAGCGAGTACATTGTGCCGCGATCGGAGCTTGAGCTCGAGTGGCACGAGAAGCTGAGCCGCTCGGGCGTGAGGACCGGCCTGGTCAACTTTGGCGTGACGTGCTACATGAACTCGACGCTGCAGTGTCTCACGTATCTGCCTGCCTTTTCGCAGTACCTCGTCATGGGCGCGCACCCGCGGGAGGAGGAGTGCCCGATCCGCGACTTTTGCCTTGCCTGCCAGATGCGGACGGTGGTGGGCAACATGCTCTTGGGCAAGAAGGCGGTGTACTCGCCCAAGTCGCTTCACCGCAACCTACGGCACATCGGACGGGTCTTCCACAAGCACCGGCAGGAAGACTCGCACGAGTTCCTGCGGTTTGTAGTGGACAAGCTCTCGGACGTGGACATCGAGACGGCGGCGGCGAGGCGCCGACAGCGGCCGACAGGCCCGGCGGTGGAGACGACCGGCATGCACGCCATCTTTGGTGGCCATCTGCAGTCGTCGGTCAAGTGCCCACAGTGCAAGCGCCTGAGCGTGACCAAGGAGCCGTACCTTGACATCTCGCTCCACATTGCCGGCTGCCGGTCGCTAGAGTCTGCGCTGAAGCAGTTCACCCGGCCAGAGACCCTCGACGCGCACAACAAGTACTATTGCGGTAAGTGCACCAAGTCGGTCCGCGCCGTCAAGACCCTCCAGCTGCTCAACACTCCGCCGGTCCTCGTCTGCCACCTCAAGCGCTTCCGCGGGATGCGCAAGAACGCCGACCACATCGCCTTTCCGCCCAAGCTCTCGCTTGACGCCTTTATGGTCAACTCTCCGCCGGTCCCGCCGTCGGAGCTCCCGCGCTACAAGCAGTACTCGCTCGCCGGCGTCGTCGTCCACCACGGCCACACCATCTCGTCCGGCCACTACGTGGCCTACGTCCGCGCGCCCAACGGGTCGTGGTTCCTCTGTAATGACCGCTCCGTCAAACAGGTCTCTATCAAGACGGTCCTCGCCCAGCAGGCGTACATCCTCTTTTACACCGCCACCGAGGCCGAGCGCCTTTCGCCGGCCGTCATCGACGCCGTCACCGCCGCCACCCACAAGCGCCGCGCCAAGGCCGCACGCCACGCCGCCCGTCGCGCCTCCGCCCGCACCCTTCCGCGCTCCTCCTCGCACAAGTCAGCCAAGGCTAAGACCCCCGCTGTCCAGCAGAAGCGCAAGCTCTCGCGCAAGGAGCGGCGCGCCGCCAAGAAGGCCGCCAAGAAGGCTGCCAAGCAGCAGGCGGACATGGCCCTTGCCTATCGCGCCCTCGAGGCCGAGAAGGAGCGCCGCGCCCTCGCTGCTGCGACCGCCGTTGCTGCAAAGTCCGCTGCGGCCGCTGCCTCCGACTCGGGCTTTGACTCGTCCGACGCCGGAGCGAGCCCACGCAAGCGTCGGCGCGGCATGAAGAGCTGGATCGTCACCGACTCACCGACCCCGTCGGCCGTTGGCATGGGCGTCAAGATCGACCGCGCCAAGGCGAGACCGGCCATCAAGCGTCTGCAGGAGCGCCGGCGCCGCAAGGAGGAGCAGGCCCGGCAACAGCAGCAGCTTGACACGACGGCAGACTCGGGCTCAGAGTCGTCGGGCGAGCCACCGGTGAGGCACCAGCCATCGCCGTCGCCGCCCAAGACACCCAAGACGCCCAAGACGCACGAGCTGCCGGATCCCGTCCCTGTCACCACTCCCAAGAGCAGCCGCAAGGGCAAGCGGTCGGCGCCGCGAGGTGAGGCTGTGGTCATCGCATGGGACGAAGCCCGCCGCGCCGAAGAAGAGGCGCCAGATGAGAGCGCGAGCAAGGCCAAGCTTCATCGCAAGCCCGAGATGCAGTTTGCGTGGGATGCCCAGGGCTGGGAGGACGACGAGGCGTCGCAAGCCATGGCTCGTGAGGTCAACCGCCTCAAGCTCCAGGCCGAGCGCGACATGCTCAAGAAGCGCAAGCGGTCCAAGGACGACGACCTCTACGACATGGGCAAGAAGCGAAAGGTGAAGAAGGACAAGGGCTCGGCCACCGCGTCGGCCATCGGCGCCGGCAAGCGCGAGAATGCCTTCCAGCGCGTCGCCAACGAGAAAAACGCCAGGCGCAAGGTCTCCGGCCTCAAGCCCGAGCGCTCCAAGAAGTCGCGCGCCCAGAACGCCTACGACAAGAAGTCGACTCGCCGCATGCGTGACAAGGAGCGCCGCTCACAGAAGCGCGCTCTAGCCAAGGCCTAGTTGTAAACCCGGCTTGCAGCCGATCACTACCAGGCCTGGCCTCGACGAGCGGTCCCCGTCCTAAGCTTGGCATCGGTCGCCGCTGCCCGTGTGCCCTCCGCTCACAGCCAACCGCTCCCAAACTTGGCCTCGGCCGCCGCCGCCCGCTTGGCATCGATATCTTTCAGCTCCTCGATCTTCTGTGCAATCTGGAAGTGGATGATGGCCTCGTAGTCCTTGCGCGCGCCCAGCGCAGTCATCTCCTCGAGGAACGCCTTCCGCTCCTCGATCTCGGCCAGCACATCAGCAAAGCGATCCGGCGGAGGAGCCCGTGCCGCCGCTGCCGCCCGCGCCCGCGCCCGTGCCTCGGCCCGCTTCCGCGTCGCTGCGTTCTTGCGCCCCTGCGCGCCGTACTTTTTCTCGTGCACCGGCCGCCCAACGTCCTCAAACACATCCGCCAGCCGTGCTTTCTCCTCCTCACACGAGTACTTGGCCGGCTTTGGCACAAACTTATCCACAGCATACGGATCGGTGGCCAGGATGCTCTCAGACGTCCGGATGGTCGGCCTCGCCGGCAGCGGCACCCTCCCCTTGATCTCCCTCGAGATGCGTGTCGGCTTGCGCACCACCTTGCCGCTCCCGTGCAGATCCTTGGGCAGCGTGCCAGTCGCTAACACCCTCGATCAGCACACACACACACACACACGCACACACGCACACACACACACACACACGCACACACGCACATATATATATATATAAACAAGTATATATGCATACACGCGCCCGCCGCGATCAGTGCACCCCACGTGAGTGCTTGCCATTGGCGCCCTCATCTCCTCCTGTCCAACCGGCGGTGGCGCGTACTCTGTAACGATGTGTTGAGCTTGCGCTTCTGGGCGGGCGTCAAGCGCGACTTGGCCATCATCTTCTGTAGCAGCTTTTGTGTGTCGGACGACAGCGGCGCGCCCTGGCTCTTTCCCTTGTCTCGCTCGCGAGCACGGACAGGTCGCAGGCTCATGTCGTTGTCGAGTCGAGTGGCGAGTGGCAGGCGCAGGCGGGCGAGTGGCGGTCGGCGGGCGAGTGGTGGTCGGCGGGCGAGTGGCTGAGCTGGCGGATGCCAGACGCTAACACATACCCTCATCACATTGCTGCAGAGTCACAGAAAAGCAAATCTCGCCCCCCCCCCCCCCCCCCCCCTCCTCATCGAGACTGGCAAGTAGCGCTTTATCTCGCTGAGCGTCTTTGGCGTCGCCATCGTCACCATCGTCGCCACAGTCATTGAAAGCGACGGCAGCAAACGCAATGCGGCAATCTCCCGTGGTGCAGGATCCCAATCTCCCGTGGTGCAGGATCCATCTTGCCTCCCTCGACGCAGACGCTGGGCGGCGACTCGATGGCACCTCTGACTAAGCCCAGGCCGGCCACTGCGTCTCGCCCAGCTGGTCCTCGGCAAACGCCCGGCTCCGCGCACACGGTACACGCCCGCGATTCCCGCTTGCAAACGACATTTGCGTCAGCAGGCCGCGCAGAGCCGCTGATCGGTGGCCTGGAGCCGCCAGTGCCTCTTCCGCAGCTGCACGCCACGTGTTGGTCTCGGCCCGCTCGGTGACTCCGGCGCTATCGAGCGCCATGTACAGCGGTGGACCGTGCCCGACGACATGCAACGTCGGCGGCGACGGCAGGGCGCCCCCTCGATCAGCGCAGCGCCGACAACCACCCGGGCCGCCACGTCTACAGGCATCCAGTCGAGCGAGAGCCCGCCGCGCGGGCCGACCCCCATCTCCTTGCACAGCTCAAGCAGGTGCGTCAGCACATCCGCCGGATTGGCCACCCCGTCAGGCCCGGCCGAGAGCGACGACAACCGAGCCACAACCACGTCAAGACCGGCCTGCGACGCCTCATGGACAACAGCCTCGGCAACAACCTTGGATGCAGCGTAGCCGCCAAGCTTGTCCATGTCGTCACTGCTCGGGAGCGCGATCCAGCCCTCGGCCGCAAACTCGGCCGCAGGCAGCGCCGCCACCGACGAGACGTGGACCAGCCGCGCATTGGTCGCCGCCGCCACGCCCACCATTGTTTTGGTTCCGCCAACGTTGATCCGCTGGAGCGCCTCGTACGCAAGAACCATGTTGACAGCCGCCCCAGCGTGGATAATTGCGGTCAGGTCGCGTCCAAGAAGCGCAGCCCATGCGATGTCATCAAGCCCAAGCTGCGCCTCGCCAAGATCGCCGACCAGAACCTCAACACGCGGATCGCAGGCGGCGGCCGGATCCAGCCGGCCCGGATCACGAACAAGGACCACCACTGTTGCTACAGATGCGTCATTCAGCAGGCACAGCAGAAGTGCGCGGCCAAGAAAGCCAGTGGCGCCGGTGAGCAACACAGACTTGCTTGGCGACGTGCTTGCCTTATGGACAGGCGTGAGATCCGCCATCGGCATCGCCACCTCGGCGCTCCAGTTGACGGCACGCCGAACAGATCGTGGGAGCGCGGCCGCGGCGCCGACGCTCTCGCTTGCACGCAGCGCCATCCCGTCCAGGTGTGCCACCGAGTACATCTGGGCGTCAGCCATCGAGAGCGCAACACCGGCCTTCTGGAGCTTGCCGACCAGTTGGGCGAGTGCGAGCGAGTCGCCGCCAAGCTCAAGCAGAGTGGATGTGGCGACCGAGGCGTCGACGCGCCCGCTGTCATCGACGTCGACACCGATGCTTGTCCGCAGCAGATCGGCCATGATCGGCGAGAGCGCCACATCGGCGCCCTTTGGAGCGGCAGGCGCGTCATAGAGCGCGTCGATGATGGTCTTGTAGCAAGCATGGAGCGCGGCGCGCGCCTTTTTGGCTGTGGCGGTGAGCATGCCGTTGGCGTGCGACCAGCGCTCGTGCTCGAGCGCCACGGCAGCAAGGGTAAACTGGCTGTGATGGTGGGTGCACCAGAACCGCAGCTCGGCAAGCATGGAGGGCGGATCGACGTCAGTCGGGGCAAGATGCGACGGGACAATGATGGCGACCGGCGCCGAGGTGCCCGGACGGGCGACAACGAGCGCGTGCAAGACCCACGGCGCAGCCTCGAGGACGGCCTCAAGCGCATCGGGTGCGAGCCACTTGGCGTTGGCGAGCTTACACCCGTAGCCGACACGGCCCTCGAGCGCGATCTTCAGGTTCCTGAGAGGGCCCGGCAGGCTCAACACCCTAACAACGTCGCCGGTGATATAGTACCGGGTACCGGCAACGGTGGTAAAGGCGCGGGCGCTTCGGGCCTCGTCGTCGTAGTAGCCCGGAATGAGCCGCGGTGAGGCGACAGCGAGGACGCCGACTGCGCCGACAGCCAGCGGCACTGACGGCTCGAGGCTCTCGACGTCAAGCAGGAGCGGCGTGACTGACGGATAGAGCTCGCCGTTCTTGGCGAGTGGGCCGGCCTCGCGCGAGCCAAGCAGATCGTCGACGGTGACGCCGACGTCGTTGCGGAAAAAGTCGAGGGTCGACGGTGCAATGGCACCGCCGCCCGAGATGAGCGAGACAAGCCGGTTGCCGAGGCACGCCCGGACTCGGGCGAGGCCGGCCTCGCGGCTCGCGGTCTGGCGAATCACTTCGTCGTAGGCCTTGCGGAGGAGAGAAAACAGGAGTGGCGGCGCCGAGATGTGGGTCGCCCGCGCCAGCGTCATGTCCTCCAGCAGCGTCGTCGGATCGGTGGCGAGGAACCGACTCCCGCCGCACGACATGAGGGCGAGGAGCGAGACAATGAACGATGGGTGGAAGGCCTGAAAGTCGAGGCGGATCATCCGCCACATGTTGGTGCCGCCGGCAAAGGTCGGAAGGAGCATGGCCTCGGTGTACATGGCACCCTTGGGCACGCCAGTCGAGCCTGAGGTAAACAGCAGTGCGGCGAGATCACCACGGTCGCGCGCGGGAATCTCGAGCTGGGGCCCCGGGCTCTCGTCATCTGGAGAGGCGCCGTCGGTGGCGTCTTCCTCGTAGACAATAACGGTTCCGGCGTTCATGGCCTCGGCCTTGGCAACGTAGTCGGCAGAGCAGAGGACGGCGACTGGCGCGACCTTGGCGCCGACAGCAGCCAGGGTCTCGATCGGCAGAGCGCCGTCGATGGGCACGACAACGACGCCTGCAGCAATGGTGCCGACCATGGCGGAGACATAGGCTGGGCTCATGTCGCCGAGCAGGACAACCTTGCCGGCCGGCGCGTGCGGCGCCAGTTGGCGGGTCCAGCCTCGGGCCGTGGCGGCAATGTCGGCGTAGGTCAGCCAGCCGCCGGTGGAGCGGGAGGCGATGAACGGGCGGGAGGCAAAGGCGTCGAGCGCAGCCACTACAAGCTCCGCGCATGTCTCACCGCGGACCTGCTGTGGCGCGTAGAGTCGTTGCGGGTCGAGGGTGTGGCCGGCGCCGGCCGACGCCGTGTGAGGCGAGGTGGGAGCACAGGCGGCGCAGGCGATGTAGCCCGGAGACCGGCAGGCGATGCACTCGTGGAACTCATCGCCCGGTGTGCAGAGCGTGGCGCACTCGGCACAGACAAGAGTGGCGGCCGAGACGGCGGTCGATGGGTCCAGCCGCCGAGCATGGAAGGAGCCGTGCGAGCCGCCGAGCTCGTTGCGCCACGAGCCAGAGACGGCCTGGGCGCTCTTGTCCCAAACACCGACATAGTCGACAGCGTAGTTCTCGACGGCTTCGTTGTACTCGTACTGCTTGACGAGCTTGAGCTTGTTCTCGTCGCCTTCGACGGTACAAGTGCCGGTGACGGTAAAGGCGATGACCGGCTGGCCGGGCACGTCGGCGGCATCGTCAAAGAAGCCTGCGCCGACAACCGCATCGCCGCGGTCAGGAATAGGAGCAAGGACCCAGGTGATGGGATTGGTCGGGATGCAGAACGGGGCGAGCTCAGGCGCAGGCACGGCCTCGCCCTTCCACACTCCGGCCAGCGACGCGCCTGGCTCGACGAGCATCAGGCCGAACATGCCCGACACACCGCTCGAAGGCTGGTTCCATGTCCCGGCCATCCGCACCACCGCGGCATCCGAGCTGGAGCTCGAGCCGGACCCGCCAAAGACCGTGCCTGTGAAGACCAGCGTGCCGTCGTCAGATCCGGCGGCAATGCCTGAGACTCGGAACGTGGCCTTGCGTGACTCGGCCGCGTACGTGCCGATGACCAGGTCACCGTCGGCAGACGCGCCAAAGATCGATGGAAAGCCGCCTGACGGCAGCAGCGCTATAGCTGCGTCCAGCTCAACAACATACTCTGGATTGGCTGACGATGAAAACTTGCCGCTCCACCTGCCGGCGATGTGCTGGTCCTCCATGACGGATGAAGGAGGTGTTCAGTATGGGGGAGACGAGTGTGTGAGAGGGCGGCGCGAGCGACGAAAAACAGGCGCCGCCTTTTTTAGGCTGTTGATTGCGACAGAGCGATTGCGACACGGTGCTGCGATCACTGGGCATGGAGGTGCAATGATACCGTCAGGGGGTGAAAGAAAAGGCATTACCTCGTAAGTGGTGGAAGATAGGGGCGAGAGAGGGGAGGGCATGGCCGAGTTGGGATGGAGGGAGGGCAACACGCAGATCAGAGTGAGTGATCAGCAAAACTCAGTTTGCCGTGTCATAGGTGACATGGGGAGACAGTCTGGGCGAAAGACGGCGGCCCGATTTCCAACGATTTCGGGCGTCCGAGGATGATAGGCAGCGGTGCGGCGATGGGCGAGCTCGGAGGCTCTGATAGGAGGTGTGGCATGCGTTTGGCGTGGCGAGGACGTGGAGCCGCGGGTGAGGGAGTTGAGCAAGATGTCATCAAATTATTGATGGGGGGGGGGGGGAGGAGGCACGATGGGCTGAACACACCACTCGAAAGGGGCAGAGGAGGAGGCAAGACGGCGTCAACAGACGGTGCCGGAGAGGACGAGAGCGCGATGGCGGTTGTGGTGATGGGGGTGAGCGGGTGCGGCAAGTCGTCAGTGGGCAGCGAGCTTGTGGCGGCGCTGGCGGCGAGGAGCCGAGCGGCCAGGTTTGTAGAGGGCGACGAGGTGCATCCGCAGGCCAACGTGGAGAAGATGGCGGCCGGGATTCCGCTGGACGATGATGATCGGATGCCGTGGCTGGAGGCTCTTGCTGACATGATGCGGGAGGTTACCGAGTGCGGCCTGTGGGCCGTGACGTCGTGCTCGGCGCTGAAGCGGGCGTATCGTGATACGCTGCGGCGACGATGTGGGCGCGGACTGGTCTTTGTCCACCTTGATGTGGCGGAAGATGTGGTGGCGGGGCGGGTGGCGGGGCGGGAGGGTCATTTTATGCCTGCGGCGCTTGTGGCGTCTCAGTTTGAGTCACTGGAGGCGCTGGCGACGGACGAGGTGGGCGATCGGCGCGGGCTGGTAGTCGACGCGGGTGGCGGGGCGAGCTGCGCCGAGACGGCGGAGAGCGTGGCCGACTGGCTCTGCCGCACTGTGAAGTATTAATGTATGCAAGAAGGGATGATGCAGGCAGCCTAGGCCGACTCGCCGGCGTCGATGGCGGCGGCGGCGGCAGCCTCCTTGGCCTGCTTGCGACGGTTGCGCTCCTCGTAGATGGAGCGGTTGAGGCGAACGCGCTCAAGGATGGAGGTGGTTGTGGTCTGGAAGTCGCTCTCGACAGTGCGGAAGATGTCGCGCTCCTTGGCGATGCGGTAGGGGTCGGCCTCGAGCTTGGACGGCTGGTCGAGGACGGTGCCGTGGACGACGACGTCGACGCCGAGCGCGTCGAGGTAGGAGGCGGTGAGGAAGAGTGGGGCGCCAAAGACGACGTCGTCGACGTGGCGGCAGGAGAGGAGCGAGAGCGCGCGCTCGTGCTGGGTGCAGATGGGCAGATTGCCGCCCTTGAACGAGTTGACGGTGGCGTCGTCGTAGATGCCGACAATAAGGTAGGTGCCGAGGGCCTTGGCCTTGGCAAGGAGCGACATGTGGCCAGCGTGGGCAACATCAAAGGCGCCGTCGACGTAGACCACCGTGTCGTCGGGCTTGGGCGGCGCCACCGTCCGAGCAAACTGGGCAATCTTGTACGAGTTGGCAATAAAGTCGGAGCCCTTGGTGAACCGCGACGAGATGTACTCTTCGCGCGACTCGGCGAGCGCTGTCGGCACCCCGTCCTTCTCGCCGGCGTCCATGGCATCGAGCGCCACCATCATCCGCGCGATGAGATCGGTCGTCGACACGCCCGGCGTCCGCGGGTACTCGCGGTACCGGCCGGCAGCCTTGACCTCGGCGTAGCAGTCGGTGCCGTCAGCGGTGAACGTCGGGTCTGTGGCTCCAGTGAGTGGCAACAGCTATCTATCTATCTATATCTCTTCTCCCTCGCCCTCGCTCTCTCTGTCACGTACCATCGCCGTGGAGGCAAAAGTCGATGTTGTGCTCGTCCAGGACCGAGACCTGGGTCACGTACGGAGCCGCCTCGACGACCTCATCAACCCACTTGCCTGTGCTCCGACCACCCGCCCAATTCCATCCGCACACATCACACGCCGCATCGATGGCACACACGATGTGAGTCTTCCCGCCCAAGGCAGCGGAGGCAGCGCACCTGCCGCACCTAGCCCTTCCCCCCCCCCCCCCCCCCCCCCCCCCCCTCCCGGCCATCCACCTGCCCCGATCTCAAGCCGTACACGCGCGGAGCATGGCGTAGCGCTCATCCTCGCTCAGGAGCGGCGGAGCCTTATGCTTGGTCACATCCTCGTCACTGTGGCAGCCGACAACAAGGTAATCGCACTGGGCTCGGGCTTGACGGAGGGCATTGGCATGACCATAGTGGGTGAGGTCAAAGACGCCGTCAACCCAGCCACGAATGGGCTTGTGATCCTCGTTTCCAGCCGACACTGCGAGAGAAAATCAAGCCAACCAAAATATCGTCACAGTATCCAAGTATATGTGAGTTTGATGCGTGGCCATATCTCTTTCTACGCCCATGGTAGCGCCTGGGAGTGCCTGCACGAGGTCGACGAAATTGCCACGTCGATCCCACGCAAGGCGCATGAGCAGAGAGCCTGGCCGGGGATGGGGAACAGGGAGAGAGACCAGAGACTGACACAGCCACAGACATGTCATTGGTCTGTCATGGGCATGACTTGCTCAGGTGGGATGTCGTACTTGGAGTAGTGATGATGAGAGTGGTGCAGGCCGTGGAGACGAGCTACTCGCCCGTGTCCGCCGTTAGCCGAAATGGCCAAAGCAAGTGCCTCTGGGTTGACTCCTCCGCTTCGGCCGGCTGCTTGCGCGGCACGTGTGCGCACGCGCTTGCGCCGCGGCTGCCGGTGACCATGACCGACGCCCCCGATGGGCTGGTCATTGTCGCGATCCACACATGATGTACCTCATTGGACGGATGAATGGCTGACAACACTGGTGCGACTTGGAGGATAGCCACCATCATGACATGATGGGGCGGCGGTGGGTCTGCGCCGTTTGGATGCGCAGCTTGAGACCAGTGGTCCGAGTGGCTGGCTTTCTTGGCTTGTGGTGGCGATGGCGATGGTGGCTGGCCGGGGTCGGGTCGTGGTAAGAGTTGGAGCCAAGTCGGAGCAAGAGCTTCATCAGGGCTCTCCCGCACGCGCGATGGAAAACAGGATGGACATCATGCACCAGCGATGTAACCTTTGGCCACTTTGGTTTCAGCCTTACCTTGATGGCCGTAGTTTCACGTGGAGTAGCCCCGTACTGGCTGCAACAAACTGTCGAGCGGCGGTCCGGGCGCGCGAGTGAGTGAGGGAGTGGAGGCCGGGCCATCCTCGCTCGCAGTTGGACCGCCTCCCGACTGGCACCTCCGACTCGTGGCCAAGCTCACCCACTTCACCCCACCTTTACACCATGGTATGCACCTTGTTGTGTGCGGCAGTATGCGTTGTACCTCTGCCGAGCGCGTCGCGAGATGGTCGTGGCTGAACCAGGTAGCAGGGGTCGGAAGGGAGTGGGAGCGGCTCATCCATCAATCCATCCCTGTTAGGCCAGGGAGAGGGGGAGGGGGCGGGGGGGAAGGAGAGCAACTCACGTATGGCGGGGGAATGGGGATGGGGATGGGGTGGAGGGAGAGTAGGCGCAGCATGGTGATGATGTGGAGCTGTCGATGGAGCGGAAGATCATGTTTGGCAAGTTTCTGGCGGCGACCAACAAAGGGACGAGGGACAAGGCGATGAGGGAGCTGCGCGAGTGGATTCAGAGTCAGGAGACGATTGCGACGCTGGAGATGAAGAAGCTCTGGGAGGGACTGTACTACACCATGTACATGACGGACAAGCCTGTGGTGCAGGATGAGGTTGCGGTCTCGATTGCCAAGCTCATCAACGACATGCCGCCGGGGAAGAACCTCCTGTTCACGGCCATCTTCTTTGAGACCATGCAGCGCAAGTGGCTCAAGATCGACCAGCACCGGATGAACAAGTACCTCATGCTCATCCGAGTCATGCTCCGGCATGCGTACAAGTTTTGCGCAGCGGCACCGGACGAGGTCTCCAAGCACAAGCGGCTGATGAACCTTAACCTCATTCTGACGACGCTGTCCAAGCCGCAGGCAGCGCGCAACTCGCGTCCGGACGTCAAGGTCAAGATTGCGCGGCCAGAAGCCGGAAGGACATCATCAACCTCGCTTCTGGCATCATGCTTCATGTTCTTGACATCATGCTCTTTGAGGCGCTGCAGGTCGAGGGCCTGGTGACGGACATGGCACTGCTGATGGTGGTGGTCGAGCCTGCGCTCGACGCCATCATGTCGTCGCCCAAGGAATCGCTGGCGCGGACGGCCGACAAGCGGGTGCTGCGGCTGATGATTGATTCGTGGGCGGCCGACTCTGAGCTGGTGGGCGAGGTTCTGGGCGAGGCCATGGCCAAGATGGAGACCGGCGAAGACGACAGCGACGACGACGGCGACGTGACGGGCGCCATTGGCGACGACTACGAGTCTGCGCTCGAGGCGCTCGAGCCGGGTCACGACACACTTGTCCACGTCTTTGACCCGCAGGTCCTGGCCAACGTGGCCTTTGCCGCCGCCGCCGACAAGGCGACAATCAACAGGAAGCGGCGGAAGATGCTGTACGACGTGTTTGACCTCATTGTTTCGTCTGCGTCGAAGCTGGACATTCCCATCGAGCGGCCGTCGCTTGTCTCGCTGTCGTCCAACAAGCGCAAGCGTGGGGCAGACGAGGCGGCTGCGGCTTTGGCTGTGGCTGCGGCTGCGGCCGCGACGTCCGACACGGAGTCTGATTCCGAGTTGGAGGCCGGCTCGTCGTCGTCGTTGAGCGAGGACGAGGACGAGGACGAGGACGAGGACGAGGACGAGGAAGAGGAGGACGAGGCGCCAGCGGCCAAGCGGGCCAAGACGTCGGCGCTGAGCCACTACCGCAAGGCGTTTGGCAAGAGCGCCGGCGGCTCGTCGTCGTCCGACTCGGGATCGTGCGATGACGACGACGACGACGACGTCGAGTTTGACGAGGTCGACTCGGACGGGTCGTCGTCGGACGGGCTCGGCGACGAGGTGAGCGCGCTTAAGGACGCGCAGCTGAAGGCACTCGAGTCTGGCATTGCCAAGTCCAAGTTTGAGTGGGACGACGACGACGCGGCCGAGGGCGGGGCGAAGACGGCCGAGGTGAGCGCACAGGAGGCCGAGGAGTCTGCGGCGCGGCTGCTCAAGGCTAAGAAGGCGGTGAAGGAGGCGAAGCGCAAGGCGGCCAAGAAGGCCAAGCAGGTCAAGGTCGATCGCAAGAAGCACCCGTTCATTGACGATGTGGTCGACTTTACCGTCGACGATGAGAACGAGGAGAAGCGTGTCCGCCCCAAGAAGCGCAAGGCCAAGCACCAGGGCGTGCCCGACGTTGAACGCATCATCAGCAACGCGGTCCTCGCCAAGGGCTCCCCCGGCCAGGTCGCCGCCATCCAGGCCGAGCGCGAGCAGGCTCGCCTCGAGAAGGAGCGCAAGGGCCGCACCTCGCGCCGTGCCCGCAAGCGCCGCGCCAAGGCGCGCGCTAAGGAGGAGGCCGACGCCAAGCGGCGCGCCAAGGCCGGCCTCCCGCCCAAGAAGCCCAAGACCGAGTCGACCAAGTCTGGCAAGGGCAAGGGCAAGGGCAAGGCCAACGGCAAGAAGCGGGCATCGATCAAGTTCTCCCTTGACAAGAACAAGATCCATGTCTTTGACAACACCCTTCCGCCGACCCGGCGTCTGTCCTGACTTGCCTGCGCGCGCGGACGACGCGACACGATGGGTATGTGATTGACCATGTCGATGGCGATAGCGATGGCGATGGCGATGGCGATGCGTGAATGAAGAGAGTCTAGTACAAGGGATGTCTGGGGTTTAGGCTTGTGTGGTGCTTTGTGCGTGTGAAGCTGGTGTGTGTGAGAGAGTGTGTGTGGGGTGGGGGATGGGGTGGGTGTGGGTGTGGGGGTGGGTGGGGATACGCGGGCGACGGGTCGCTTGATGCGGGTCGCGCGGCTTGTTGAGCCTTGTCTCGGTCAGGGCCTCGGGTACGGCAGCGGCAGCGGTTATGACCACGAGCACTATCACGACCACCTTACTCATTTTCACAACAACATGAGCAGCGGTATGTTGTGGTTGTGGTTGTGGTTGTGGTTGTGGTTGTGGTTGTGGTTGTGGTTGTGGTTGCGGGCGGGTGACTCATGGGTGTGTGGGCGGTCGCCTCGGGTATGCGGTGGCGCGACGTGGCGGGAATGCGGGTGGCGGGGACATGCTGGTTGGCGGGACCATGTTGGGTGTTGGGTGGGTGGATGGACGGGTGCGGGTGAGCGCAGACGAGCTTGGCAAGGACATTGTCTCCGAGGGCACTGGTGCGGCCATCAAGGCCGGCGACACCATCACGGTTCACTGCACCGGGACCATCAAGCGGACTGGCAAGAAGTTCTGGTCAACTAAGGACCCGGGCCAGAAGCCGTTCTCCTTCACCATCGGCCAGGGCTCGGTCATCCGCGTACGTACTCTCCGCATCCCCTCTCCCTCCCTCCCTCCCTCCCTCCCTCCCTCCCTCCCTCCCTCCCTCCCTCCCTCCCTCCCTTCCTCCCTCTCCGCACTCACTCTCGCATCGGTCGCACTTGTACCCATCAGGCCTGGGACGAGGGCCTGCTCGGCATGAAGAACGGCGGCCACGTCATCCTCGACGCCCCGTCGTCGTGGGCCTACGGCTCGGGCGGCTACGCCGCGTTCGGCATCGGCTCTGGAGACGACCTCATCTTTGACATCGAGGTGCTCAAGATCCAGTAGTCATCGCTCTCGACCCCCTCCCCCCCTCCCCCCCTCCCCCCCTCCCCCCCTGCCGTCTGCTCTCCACCGAGGAGCTCGGTCTCGGACCTCCGCAACCATCAAACACAGTTTTACCCCCTCTGTACCCCCCACGACCAACCGTCGCCAGTCGGCGGGCGGCGGCCGGACCACCCGACGACAGTCACTCGTCGCCACAGCCGCCGACCATGGCGTACAACACCGACGACCTGCTAGCCTGCTGCGCAGCACTGGGCTCGCTCGACGACGCCCATCCAGACACCTACCACAAGGGCGACGACTGTCTGTGTACGCCATGACTCCCCTCTCCCCTCCCTTCCCCTCTTTCCCATCCCCACCCCTGGTGGCCTTTTCCTCAACCCTATCCTGACGCATAGATTCTACGCCCTCTCAACCCCCCCCCCCCCCCACTCAGTATATGTTGCCCGTGACAGGCTGTTAAAACCACTCCCGTGGTGTCAACGCCAAGCGAGTATACCTTGCGCCTGTACCCGAGAACGATACGCTC